CAGCTAAAGCACACTTTTCCTTTGGAAGTCTGTAAGGCAAAGGCAGGCAAAGACTGCCCCTAACGTGGCACTACAAATGACATTACTGAACAGAGTCATAAAAGGGAAGTTTACCATCAGTCAGCCACAGTTGTATAAATTATACATTCTCTGACTGCAGTTCTCTCCAATATCTAATTCTTGGAGAGATCCCAAACACAAAGGGCAGTCAAACTGCCCCAAAAACGAGAAATTAGAAAAATTAGAAATTTTTCTCAGCAAAAGATTCCTAATGTGCAGAAGATTCGTCCTAAATGCTCATAGCCCTCCATTTCCTTTCAGCTCATGATGGAAAGTTCATCTTTCTGGGAAACAGGATACACTTCTTGAAGTGCAATTATTCACTTAAGCAATTCTCTTTGGTAAACTTGGATGGCAAGTGCCTTCCAGTACTGTCAGGGAAATTAAGACAAGTCAGCTCTTCTTTTCTAAAGTAGCAGAGGGCTGACACACCAAGATGAGACTAAAAATTCCTACTCCCAGCTGTTCTGACCTTCCTAAAGAGTGTGAGTCCTTAAGTTTGCATGAAGTATGGTACCTGAACTGGCTTCGGTGGGACCAATTCAGGTGTCTCTTCACCTACAGGTCCATTTTCCCCATAGCTGGAAAATTAGTCTATAGATTTTTGTTTTCCGAATGCATCCAAACTCAGCAAAAGGTTAGATAACCTTAGATGCAGATTCATTATTTTCATTACTCCCTTGTACAAGGCAAATAAAAAGGAAAAATTCAGTATTTAAAACTGAATTGAAGGCAAAGAGTTCAATGAAATCATATTAATACGTTGCCAGTGGAGAATCAGACAAGTACTGATTTCAAAAGGGAAATTTCAATAATTTTTGCATGGTTTGCCTCCTGTGGCTATACTGCAACCTCAAGGTTGCAAGCCACATGTCTGGGAGATCTGAGGAATCAAAGTTTAGGTGAAATGTAAGCAGCATGATGGTGGATGTGTGCTTGGAAATATTAATCTACTTTCACTAACAGAGATATTCTGATAACGCAGGCTTAGAACACTCAGCTTGCTGTTTAGCCAAAATGAAAATATTGCTCTATTGAAAAAAAAAAGGTTAATGGTATTCCCACATAAAATACATGAAGTATGTGTGCCCAGCTTGTGTTATAATAGCAATCCATCTACATTAAGTACCATTGCCATTAATACAGTGCACTGGAATTAATGGAATTCCTTCTGCTGAGCTCAGTGAGCCCTGGGTTGCAGTCTCAGGGCTATCGTTTTTATGCTGGAGGCAATATATCAGCCCAGCAATGATTTGTCATCATTTTGAGAGTCGGACATGGGAGGAACTTCAGCATTACAAAGGAAGAAAATTGATCTGAGGTGTACTGAAGTGCCTCACTACTTTAAAATGCTAGGTCCAGATTTCCTCCACCAGGCAACCAAAATGTGCACATTTCCTCATTTGGTTAAGCTTGTCTTTCATGCAACCACAAATTCGGATGAGAAGGGGACTGTGTCACTCTACAATTATATGGTGCCTTGTGCACATTCTGGATTTTTTTTTACCTGATCTACCAGCTCAGATAATTTTTTTAGTAGCAAATACAGACTCTAGGAATTTCTGTTTTCTATTTACTGGACAGTGATGCAGGCTAGATGAAGTGGACTTCTTCACCCAAGCCTTTTGTCCTCTCCAGATCACCAACAGCACTAGCCAGCCATTCACAGTCCTGAACCAACATCTTGTATGGTTTCAAATCCTCAAGGAGCTTTGTCAAATGGGGAAAAATCTATCAGGAAAGAAATTTGTGTGACAGCAATGACCACATGATCCTTCACATAGGTGGCAAACTGCAGAACTGATGTTCTTGTTTCCCAGATAAGTGTGTAAGTAAAGAGCCCATCTGTACAAATGTTTTACAGACAGCAACATCAAGATCAATTTACCTACCTGCAAAATATGCTCTTTGCCATGCTACTGTACTTGTAAAAACACAGGAATGTACTAAACAGGGGGTTTAGAAATTGCCTTAACAGTTCCTGTGACACGCTTTTATTGGATTTACATTCACCAGCAAATCCAAGAAAACAATTTGATAATTTTAGCACAAAGCAGACCAAGAAGGATTTGCTAAGCTGCTTAGAGACTCGGCTCTGAAATGTTGCAAAGGTTCAGGTTAATGTACGTTCACAGCATAGGCACCATTGGTGGACTGTATCTGACACGAACCAGGTTTTGACTCTCTGAAGCCATCCTATGATCAAGAACATATCTCATTCTGCAGCAAAATTTAGCATGGGAAATATTTTATCAATTTGACAAGGGGAAGAATCAGTAATTTTTCATTATATCATTATTTTAAGCAGATTCTCATCACTATTAAGACACAGGTATGTAAGATCTTTAATAATGTGAACAGCATAACTATGTTACATGTATGAATTTAAACAAAGATGGATATAAACTGAATCGCCTTTAGCTATTATTCAAATCACTAAAGTGATGGATAAAATTCCTTAATGAAAATATTTCTTGGGCATTTTTAAATCTAATGTATTTTAACAGATGTCTAAAAGCCTGTACCGTTTTAACAATTCAATTTGCATAGGAAATTGTCACATGAGTTTACTTAAGCTGCTACTGTAATGGGTTTGGATTTGGGAATCCAAATGTTCCCTTTAGTTCTATATACCTAAAATATGATTTTGCATAGTGGTCATAAGGAAACAAAGAAGCCCACTGCAACAGAATTATCTTAAGTTATGTTTGTTGCCATCTTGCTTTACTTTATGAATGAAAACCTAATAGTAAATTGTAGCCAGTTGAATACAATCATAAGAGATCATTTTGGATGTACTGTACCTCTCTGATCCTCACCAAGATTTTCTTTACACAGCAGGTAAAAATTTTATTCTTTTCTATGTTCCGTAGTCTCAACCATAATAATCCAATTAATAGTTACTGACGTAGAAGAATTGTTCTTGTTAATCTTTATTACGCATTTGTAGCTTCTTTATTTGCCTTCTTGAGGAGAATGAACCTTTTAGCAGCTGCACCCATGCACTGCATTTCTCAGCATATGTATTCAATCACATTGACCTTGATGGTAAATTACTGAATTTTATAAATACATTTAGACTAAAATAACTATTTGTTATAATCTGATACCAAAATAACTCTATGTATGTAACATTTACAAGTAAACTCAGTTCTTTTTTTTAACACTGAGAGTCTTTTAATTTATGTTACAACATACATTGATATCTAAAAGAGGAATATCAGCAGTCCTATTGTTTTTATTGGGGAAAAACAATAATTTAAGCCATACTAGACTTATATCTACACAGAATAGCTATGCTAAGTCTATGTGAACTCAGAAGACAAAACACATTCAACATCTTAAAACTGATTCCTTCACAGCCTAGGTAGATTATCAGACAGGAAAAAAACAAAACAAAACAAAACAAAACAAAACAAAACAAAACAAAAAACCAAAAAAAACCAAAAACAAAACAAACAAAAAAACCCCAAAAAACAAAAACAAAAACCCCTCAATCACACTTTGTTTAGGACAAAGGGAGCAGACCTTTCAGATATATTTTGTGGGTATCACACCAGTCCTGCTATCATCATTTATTCAGACAAATAGCATCACTAAGGCAGTTAGCAAAGCAGATATGGTTGAAGATATACAGAAAACATGCACAAGGAAACACTGTAAGATACACATAGAGAAACTATTAAAGTTAACTCTCATCTGCCATGCAGACCTGTGAGAAATTACAGTTCATTGTGACATTGTCATTATAGCAGCAATGATGCCCTGAAAGACTCAGTGTTCACTCCTGCATGACAAATCAATACCACAGGTCGACTATGATTAGCCCAGTCATGATGTGCTTGATGAATATTGATGACAGTTATACAGCTGTGATATCAGATGCCTTTAAGAGCAATTCATGAATATAAAAAATGCATTATCAACAGTAATCTACTAAATTTTGAAAAACAAAGCACAGACCATTAATACTAAGCAAGCACTAGTAACTGCAAAAAAAAAAGAAATAAAAATCAGTGGTTGCCCTACATGGTCCTCTTCACATATAGTTGCACACAAATAACTGGGAATTAACTTCTAGAACTTTAAAACTTCAGATTTAAAATAAAAACATTAAACCATTGAATCTATGTAGATTTGGAGGTAAAATGATCTGAGACTCCCCAATTATTAGACGTAAGTAAGCTTACTAGTAATACTTCTACCTGCTTTCTAAACTGTGTGACACAGCTGTGGGTTTTTGATCAAGACAACTTGCCAGAGAAGTGGTTGTCTTTAATTTGTTCTCTCTGTCACAAAGCATTGTGCCAAACAGGACAAATTTAAGACAACTCCTCCTCATGCCTATTAATGAGATACACTGAGCAGAGCATCCTCCCTTACTTTCTGCCTCCCTCAAGTGCCTTCCCAGTCAAACATTAAACCTTAATAACTCTCCTTGGGTAAAAAATAGATGGTCTATCAACCATAACAAATTACACAGCAAAGGGGAGCAGAACAACTGCTGGATTTATCCAAGCTTTGCCTGAATATCTGTAGTATATCAAGTGGCAAATCTCAGGTTCCTACTTATCTCTGGCAGTTACCTTATTAACAATTCTTTTTAAATGAAGATTTAAAAAAAGGAACAAAAACAAAAACAAAAAAACCACCAGCAAATATGTATTCTAAAAGGCTGAGCCAATATGATTTTATAGATATGGTGACATCCAACCCTATGGATATATAAACAAACTACTCTCTCAGTGTGAAAAAGTTGTCCTACCTATGAGACAATAGAAGAATTCATGGAGAAATGCCATGGGCTACAGTTTTGTTTGATTTTTAAGCAGTCAGAACTTCACTCTTCAGGTCAGAAAAAAATTAACTAAGAAACTTAATGAAGAAAATTAGTTTGTTGTTTCTCAATTTCAAGCTATATTTTGACATTTCAGGATGAAAAAAGACACTGCTACTTCTGACTTTTCCTTGGTGTCCATGAAAAGCAGTGCCCGAGGCATCACATCAGCAGTGAATCCTTCTCCATGGCAGTGACACAGAGAGGTCAGTTCTGATTTAAACCTGCTACCTCCTAAAGGTATGCCTTCTTCTAGTAAAACATGCAAATAAAGTGGTAGTTTCTGCTTTTACTGCTGATGAATAATCTGGTCATGGGAGTAAATGATGTAGTTTAAAGAAAACATAGCTAAAATATTTACAGCTATATTCCACCCATTGAAAGTTGGAATTTGGTTGACTTCATCAGTCCAAAATCTGTCTGGAACTGAAGCAATTGTTTCTTTTAGTTTGTAAAAGTGAGTTTCACCCAAGAACATTCTAACTCAAGTTAGAATAAAACACCCTCATCTTAGTACAGTACTACAGTGCAACTCAGAGAGAAAAAGTTTCACACTTTCTGATGACACAATGAACTAATATATCTTTTCTCTTTTTTTTTCTTACAATTTTATACAAAGATAAGACTACTGTGGGAAATTACTGGATTATATTAATAAAATCTGTCTCTCATATCCTTTCTGACTGGCAGCAACCATTTTTGGAACTGAGTGTGTGTCAGTCTGCTGTTCTTCAAGGATTTTCTAGCTTCTCTTTGGGTTTAAGATAACTTCAGATGAAATCAGAATAAATTATATTTCTCTTATAAATTTTCTTCATGTTTGAGTACTGCCAGCAGTGCAATTTGAATTAATCTATCCTAATTTAAAGCCTGGTTCTGATGACTTTTGACAGTTTCATACTCCAGAAGCAGCTACAGTAAAACTAACAGGAATATATTTAGGTTTTTACTTTATTTGGTTTACGTAAAGCATAATTTGACCTTTAAATATTTACTAGTTTCAGCAGATAAGATAATTGCAATATAATTTTAAGGTGTACTAACCATTATGTTGTGTGGATTTTTTGTGCTGGGTTTTTTGGGGCAGTTTGTTTGGTTGGTTGGTTTTTATATTTGAGTTTGCTTCATTAGGAAGTTGATATCACTGCTTCAGAAACATGTTGTATTGCTCCCTTTGAAATATCTTCTCTCAGAGGTGGATTTTTTCTCTCCCCCTAGAAATTACTTAGCATCGTATATACACATAAAAAATTACCTTTCTTAGCAGAACCTGCTAATAATGACCTTCATATTGTTCAAAAGCACAAAAGTCAGGCCACTGCACTGAATAGAGCATAAATGTTACTTTTAAATGAAGTCCTGCTAAAAATAAACCAGACATTGATTTATAAAAGCTTATAACAATGTAGAACAGTGAGACATTTTAGATGGCAATATACACAGGAATGGTGGTTGAACTGCACATACCCTATTGCTAGAAGCAAATATCACAAGCTGTTCATGACAGATTTTTAATTAACATATATTACCTCCTCCAAATAGAGAGGATGATGTAAAACACCTTCTCTGACTTAGGGAGTACTGCCAATATGCTTCAGCTGAGGATCTGTCCCTCAGACCTGCAAGCTGCACTCTAGGTTTAATAAAAGCATTTTGTGCCTTAGCAAGCAGATCTAATCACACAGTCTGTCTAATTTGGCTCCACAGAGGCCTGGTTACCTTAATCCACCATGGGTATACATAAATGGTTCCATTTATATACTAATGAACAATAATAATGTGGGGCCATACACACACCCAAGATAAACAGACCTACCAATGCAATACAGAGCCTTATATCCTAAAATATATTTATTTCACTGGAACAAAGTCAATACCGAGTGGGTAAGAACTCAGGCTTTCCATGCGGACAAAGAAGCTCCCATAAGGCAGCACAGGCTCACGCTTGGGCAACTGTTTACCCATTTTCTTATGCACTTCCCTGCCCCTTTCAGATGGTACATTCCCCAGGAAGTACATTTACCAGCCCTGTAAAACCAGCATCTCACACGCTAAATCCTCAAAGTCCCTGCATGAAGCAATTAATTATTAATAAACCCTGCAGACCAACCTGCAGCATTCATCACGTGCCTTACCATTTCTGCACCCTGCAAGTACAGTCAAGGATTATTTACAAGCAGAAGGTGCAAATTCCTCCTTCTCCATCATCAGAATTTCTTGAACCCCCACTCCATGTCTGACACAGAAATTCTGACTCAGAGAAGGTTTTTGCCAGCCTACCAGGATAAACAGTTGTTCCTTTGGAGCCCTTCTATCAGACAGACCAGAGGGTAATGGAAGCAAAGAAAAAGGCCTTCTGGAAGTGATCAAACTTCCAAAGTTTCAGAGAATTTAGAGTCTTTAATACATGATTTCTATTTCAGGGAAAGTTTGAGAGTATTTACAACAAGAAGATTCTGTATTAAGCTTTGCAGGTCCATCATGCTGTCCTATCATTCTCTGTAGCCTCATCTTCTGCAGAGCAAGAGGTATGGTGTGTAAAGCCACTGCAGAGTGTAAAATACGACCAGATCTAGGCTATAGTTTTGAAGTATAAAGTGTGATGGGTGTTTGCTGATGTCACAATGTCAGGAAAACTTCTCATGGCCATAAATACATGAGGAAAGGAGTGGATTCATTTAACAAAGCATCAGGGATGTACTATCCTTAATGTAGCTTCATCCATTCGTGAGGATTCTGCCAGCACAAGTATGGTTTCTTTTGTGAAATACATGCAGCTTCTGTCATTTGCTAATGTAGATGAAAGTAATGCTGTGAGAATTAGCCCTCCCATAATCCAGGTAAATTAACTAGCATCTCTGCCTTTCTTTTTCCTGTTTAATAGGGGATGTGTGTGTGGCCATGGGTATGTGCGTGTGTTAAAAATAGATTACTGAAATACTTAGCTCCTTAGTAAGTAGTAGAATTCAGTTCAATGTGCCTTGCAGGGCTGTAACATTAACACCTCTAATGAGATGGGCACAACATGAAACTCCAATGGCACACTATAAAATAGATCTGAAGGCAGGTACATAAACATCCATGCTTATGCTAGCATTTTTGTTTTCTTCTATGCTCATGATACTTAGCTTTATGTTGTGAAGCCATCTATGAATACATGAATTGGACTCAAACAGAAGATGTGCTCCAGATGTGCATACGAAGTGCTCCAATTGATAGTGAGCAGGCCATTGAACAAATTGGAACTGAGTCCAAGTTACACACCAAATATGCACATAGCATGGATTTTGAGTTCTCAGGAACAACTGTTTAACTCTACAAATTTATTCCTACTTTTTCCTTTCTATTTGCCAATATTATATGAGCTCAACTTGGAAGCTCTGCCCAGGTTCCCCAAAAGTACATTCAGCAGCAGACCACAAAAAGGCCCCAGCCAATAGCAGTCCTTCAAACAGTGTCAAACTACATGCCTAGTGAAAGCAAAGACCAAATTGTATCTAGTCTGATGTTAAAATCTGAAACTGTATATTGTTTAGGTGTGGAGGCATACTCAAGACACAATGTCATTCATACCCACTAAATGTCATTTGCAAATAATGTTTACCCAACTGGAAAGCACTGCATTATTGTTCTGAATAAAACACCAGCAGTCTGGCTAGGAAATTAGACTGCCTAAGAGACTGCCAAAAACCTCTAGTCTCCCTAATTTTCAGCTACACTAATAACATTAAACTAATAACTTCTGGCTCCATTCTCATTTACCAAATTCAACATGTTTACTCTCTGACACTTCTAGTGCCACCTGGTACCTACCTTCTCCAGCTTTCTGTACACCATCACTGATAACTGAAAACAGTTTAATTTACCTATTAAATAAGTTCATCTCTTGGTCTCAGTGTTACCCATTCATCAAGGAGTAAGAGAAAGGAAACTTCTAGGAAGTTAGAGCTCAGATCTAACACTGACACCATAAGCACTTCTCATCATTGCAGGATGACAGGAGATGATCACAACAGTGCTGGGTCACGTTACATCACTTTCATCTATATTCATCTACAGAGCCAACCTGAACAGAGAGGGCCTTGAACTAAACTAAAAGCAGTTCTTACCCCAGCACCTAAAATAGCAATGATCTTCTGGACACATCTGCATAGCACATTTTAGCATTTACAATATATGATTCCAGGTTTGCACAAAAAGTAGCAGCGCAACTGGAGAGCAGTCCTCAAAATTTAAGACATCCACATGCAACTTCCAGAGGTTACTATAGTGAGGAACAAAAATCCTCAGGAACAATTATTTCTGCTGTAGTAATTAACACCTGAGACATGCAGCTCTCTTCTGCCCCTGAATATTTGTACAGAAAAACTACCAATTCTACCAACAGTAAGTAATTACCACACTTCCATAGGCCAGGACCTTGCCAAATTCAAGTTGTCAATACTTGTCCTTAATGAAGTAGTTTGGACAGACAAGGCTTTTCTAAACTAATATAAAGGTGCAAAAACTTGTAAATGGCCTCTTAAAAGGCTTCCTATGACTTTCTCTTTTTTATTTATTTAAAAAATTTCACAAATAGCTAAAATAATTGACAAGGGGAAAAAAATTAAAAACTTGGATTGCTGTAACTGCTGCTTCTGCCTTCCCTTTTTTCATAGCGTTATACCCTTGCAACCCTCCATTCTGGCTTTTTCTAATTTGGGCCTTAAACTTGCAATACGCTCCCCTCAGAGTCCTGTGGAGGACTTTGTGGTTGTACACACATGGAACAGGCTGTGCAACAGGACCTCGTGGTGATACAGTGACTTGTTTTGTGTGTGCACCATGCCCAGCGCAACCAGGTCCTAACACCACATCGCTCCTTGGCACGGGAGCTGTACAGAGAATAGACTAAACAGAACTCCACGAGGTGAGGGTGAAGCGATGCTGTTTATGGGCAGTGGCGGCAACCACAGAGATAACACCAACGACAGGGAGGAGAGAGAACCGGGATTACCTGCTGTGCCTGCTGCAGCAGCTCCATTCGCTCGTGCAAGATCTGGCTGTCAAACTCACGGCTCTGCCTCAGGATCTGCCGCCGCACCTTCTCCACTGCAGCTCGCAAATCCTCCCTCTGGGCTTCTGTCAGAGACTCGCTCGCCCTCCTTCCTGGATCCTGCTGCAGGGCATTATACAGCGTGGCTTCCAGCTCCTGGATTTTCTAATGCAACCCAAATCACACACAGACAGGCTGACATTTGAATCCAGCAAGCAAACGACCCACCAACAGCTAGAGGAGAAGGCCAGCAAGCAAAGCTTTAGGCAATAGGGAAGGACAGACACAGACAGGTGGACAGAAAGCAGCAGTCGTGAGCAGTGAGGAGCATTCCACACAGAGTGCACGCAGCCTCCTGGCACTGATTTACACCCAAGTGATGGTTTCCATTCTAGTAAACGATTGATTCTTCTGTTTAAGAAAGATTGAGATGATAGGTCTGCACTCAACACCTGATAAAACTCCAAATCCTGATGCTGAACATAAAAATTCAATGCAAACTAACAGATTTCCTTCAACTGCAACTGAATTGTTAAGCCATCCTACAAAATAAAAAGACCACATGAAAAACTGTGAATAAAAATCTTACTCTCTCTCTCTCTCTGGCCCTTCTATCCCGACGTTTATGGCCCCAGGTCTACGTCAGTGGCTTAGTTTCAAGTTGCCATAAGCAATGGAGAGAGGAACACTCGCATACTTGTATATACTAATCCCTCATCCATCTCTTGCTGTTTGCCAGATTCCTAACATGATTCTCATGCACTGGCCAAAACTGCAGTACTTCGTAAAGCAGAAAATACAGGAAAACTTCACATTCACATGGAGAACTGTATTCCCAAGAGGAAGGAAGGGAATCATGGCAGTGTTTCCCTGATTACTGGGGTTAGTATGATCCTATTAAAAACCAGCATTCAGACTGACAATATTTGGATCAAGAGCATCTGACCACATCCCTTTAGCCCTCATGACACCTTTGTGAGGTAGGTAATTCCATCCATATTAGTGATGCATAAACAGCTGCACAGAGAGGTTAAATGGCTTGCCCAAGGTCACAGTGCTAGAAATAGAACCTGTTTGCTTTTATCTCTGTTATCTGCTCTGAGACCTTGCTTCTTTTCTGAAAAGATTTTCCCCATAAGAAACATTTACAATGTATAAATAATGCTTCAGAACATTGTATTTTGATTTGCTGAAGTCTCACTATTAACAAAGTTGGGTATGCAGTTTTATCAATTCCTAGATAATTCCTAATTGTTGCTCAGCCTGAGAAAAGGCAAGGTTGCAGCTTCCCTTTTGAAAACTAGGAAAGGTAAGGTTGGATGGGACCACGCAGAAAGGAATCCCATAGGAAGAACAGGCATTCTTGATTTAGCAGCAGTAATACTTACAAATGCTTCAGGAAAAGAAATATTAGAAAAGTAATTTCTGGTGTATTCTACTAGTCACAGTTTTTTGCATACATAAACAAGCTCTTCTCTTTCGAGATGTACTAACAAGATGTTTATATATCATAGAATAAAAAATGCAATGCAAAAACATTACACTTGTAAGTACTATAACCCGTTTCCTAAGTTTTCATTTAAGTAATAGGTGATTTCTAGTCTGGTAGAAAAAGAGATATAAAGAAAAAAAGAACCCTATTTATAATTAAAAGAAACAAAACCAAACCCCCTGCATTTTAGCAAATCTGTTCAAACAGAAAAATTTAATGACTGTTCTTTTCCTACCATGTAAGCCTGGTCCAGAGCTTGCTTCCTGTAGTCGAGTTCTTCCTCTAAATAACCCTTCTGTTTACTGAACAGGTCCTGAGCAATAATAAAAACAAGGGAGTGTTTGTTCTTTATCCTAATTCATGAAGAATCATAAATGCCATCATTTTTACACAAGCTTTCCATTTGAAAGCAAATGAAAACCTACAGCAAATGACCACATCCATCCTAAGGACAACTGGAATATCAAATTAACAATATTAGCACTTCAAATACGTGTATTATATTAACAAGTTGTACCTAGAAATTATTGACCTCTACACCAGTGTACAAACCTGCCTGGACCTGACAGAAGTGCACAGAGCAGCAAGAGGTGAATGGGGATGTGCATGCATGTGGTCAATAGCCATAACTTGCACAGGGCAGGACAAGGGAGAGAAAAGAGAAACACAAGTGAGGGCACTTCATGGCTTTTCTGAAAATGTCCCATGCATATCCTTAAGGAAATCATGGGGCAAACCCTAATTTCTGTTGTCTAGCCTGTTCTAGGGAGGAAACATGAACATGCAGGTCTGCAGCACCATTCTGTGCTGTGCTACTGAAGCAGAAGTAACAACTTGGTCTTCAAACCAATTTGAAATGGGTAAAGTGATGCCCAGAGAGGTTGAGTGACTAGTTGAAGAGCTGAGAAGTTTTCAAGATGCCTAGGATTTACAGGAATTTTTTACTTTTGTTTTTAAAAATCAAGCTACTCAACTTCCATACTTATTTCATATATATAAAAATATAAATTCCAAAGACTGGGATTTCAGTGGAACTCAGTATCCAAAAGCATGATGTTGCAAGCAAGTTGTGGACATTCAAATGGTTGTCTGAATAGTCAAGCCTTTAGAGTGTTTTGGATCATGGAATCATAGGATGGTTAGGGCTGGAAGGGACCTCAAAGACCCTCTCGTTCCAGCCCTTGCACTATGGGCAGGGACACCTTCCCCTAGACCAGGTTGGGTGATAGTAAGTAGAACATAAAGCAGTTATTTGATTTTATTAGCGTTTCTTTCGAGGCAGGTTTTCACACTTAAAAAAATTAGCAGTAGACCAGAAAGCAGAGAAGCCCTTTGACTGAATTCAATATTTTCCACCATTCTTTTTTCTATTCAACAATTTTTTTTAATTTCCTCAACATATAGAATAAATGCCAAATTAAATACATAGGGTTCTTCAGATGATTAACTGCAGCCTTTACTAAAAGTATCAAAAAAATCAAACATTGCTGGTCCAGTTAGTTTTATTGGATATGGGATTGCCCCAAAGTCACTTATTTGGCCAAATTTTGCCTTTAGACATATATGTGGACTTCTGACAACTTTGCTGTCAGCTGCCAGCATAGCACTGACACAGAGTTTGCCTAAGCATGAACCATGATGATGAATCCTCAGTCCAAACATCTACTTTAAAATAAATTCATTCTAATCACCAAATTAATGCTTTGGAGGGGCTCAGAGCATAAAGTGACTACAGATGACCTCCCACATGTTAAGAGCAACTCAGAATTGGTGACAGTAGAAACATTTAAGACCAATATTAAAGGACTGAGAGGAATAAGGTGCTATTTGTTCTCTGTATAAGAAGCATAATATTTATTCTTAATTTGTTTTGTAAACTTGTAGTTCTTTTAATTACCTATTAATAAATACTGAAGGAAAAGCCAAAGTCTAAGTCAGGCCTTGATCTTGGGGCTGGAATTTGATTACACACAGATGGGCATCTATAGCTATGATACCCATTTTAGAATATGTTGCTTCAGCTACTGGTCCAGAAGGGCAGGGATCTCCACCAAGTCCCATAGGACATATTTGTCAGCCCCTCGTGGACATCTCCAGAACTCTGAAGAATATAATGTGGCATTAGACGTCATGATTACACAATTGAATCCCACCTTGACTACCCAAGTGGCATCATTTTCTGATGGGGATGGATTACAGCAACAGCTGGTGGCTGTTGTACAAGACACAACACCACCATGAACTGCATAGTAAAGGACAGGCCTGGTCCTGACATGCTTACAGGTGTCTGACACCAGAGAACTAGACTGACTTGCCTGAGACTATACAGAGGGTCAGATCAGCTCAGTTGAGTTCACCACCAGATCCCAGAAAAGCAACGCAGCTGCCCTGATCATGTTACTTCTCAAAAAGGTATGGTAAAAGCTGCCCACAAAAAGTAAGAGGGAAGGAAACAAGAATAGGACCTCAAATCCTTAACATGGGTTCCAAAGATGACTAAACAAGCGCTCAGTCCTTCTGAAAGCATCATGTTAGAATGTTATTTCTCAACTCATTTCATGATTGAGTCAATCATTAGTGATGCAGAATCTCAGATTGCTGTGCTAAACAAATAGATGCAAGGGTTACCCAAAGTAAGAGTTGAAAACATCACAGATAGTAAGTGGGAAGATAATAAACCAAGTTATATAGAAATTATGTTTTTCCAATTCTTTTTACAAAAGAACTTAGTATTTGAGGGCACTTTCCCTTCCCAAAACTTTTGCATTTTTCCATTACAAGAGTTAAAAAATAAAGAAATACTAAATTTGGGAAGGATTGTATCTACATTACATTACAATCAGCATGAAAGGCTACACTCAACAGAGCACTTCCTTTTTGTTTGTGGCTCAAAGACACACTTCTTCAGTGGCCGTGGGCAAATCACTTAATCTCCCTGTCTCATTGTCCCATTCTTTAGGATGAATCTATCTGAATTTATCTACCAGTAAAAGGTGTGGTGAGGATTAATCAGCGTTTGGAAAACCATTTGAAGATGTGAAGCACAGCATGCATGGTAAACCAATAAAAATTAACACCTTCTAAAATTCTTCGTTCAACATATGGAAAAATAAGGTCAGTTTGTTCTGCAAGACAGAATTGCTTTTGAGAAAACATTCTGTCTCTAGGCATGAAGACCATGGGACAAGAAAGGTCATCTGGAGTAAGAGGTTGACAACTTGTCCAGAAGCTGAGTACCAGAGAGCAAAGAAATACCGTTGACAATTCTAGCAACATGACCTCAAGATTCAAAAGACAATGCTGTTGCCAGGCAAATTAATACACAGAGAAAGCACAGACAATTTCCTACTGTTTGGTCAATATGCTCTGTTATTATGCATTTGTGCCCTAATTTGTACATAATATGCTATTTTTGCTCTATATAGATTTGACATTTCCCTCTCATCCCAAGAATACAAACAATAAATTGTTCTAGAAACCTCTTGCCTATTTTACTATGAAGCAATCTCTGTTAAGCAGAGAAAGGCAGCAAATCAACCTGGGATGAAGTTTATACACATTCCCTCGAAATGAGTTTTAGCTAAATGAATTATAATTTTAGCTACTGTTCCTTACCTTTTCATTCTCCAGGTCTAACATCTTCTGTGTCAGTGCAGCTTCTGTCCCCTCTATCTGTTTCAACCACTACAAGAACATAGTAGTGTGAAGGGGAAAAAACAGAAAATGAAACAAAAATAGAGCTTTTGCAAAAGTTGGTACCAAACAGTTTTCAAGCTTGTTGCCAACAATTCCAGGCACATGCTATCTATTCTCTTCAAAGTTCCACATGAGTAAACAGGCTGTGAGAACATAGGCAGAATGGAAGACTGCAAGGACGCACTAAGGACTAGCAAGTGGAGGTTGCTTTCCTACAATTTTTTTTCCCCTGTAAAGTTCAAGATACAAAACAGACTTGGGTCAAAATGCAAAATCAATCCGTTTCTTACATGATATACCAACAAGCACAATGCTTGTTGGCCTGATTTGCAAAACCATCATCTGACTTCAGGCATACACTCCTTTATTTTTTCAGAGGGCAATTTAAACAAAAGACAAGGTGGAAAATTCAATCCTTGATTTTGCACAGTTTGCTGCACTCTTCATGGGAAGATTTAGATATGAAATTTCAAACATAAATTTATAAATACACAAAATGTAAATTCATTATTTCATCATTTTGGATCTTCCGCTTTTTAAGAAACCGGTGAATGAAAAAGGGAAATTTGTTTTACCTACTTAACTTTCTACAGGAAAAAAAAATTGAACAGGAACCTTATATTCCCCAGGGATTCTATTTTCACCATCTTTGTTTTCTTCATTTTGAAGGTGACAAGCTGAAGATATTCCTAAGGGAAGCCTCACCTCTGACATTCAGCAAGACCGTGAGCATTCTGAACCCTTGAAATTAATAGAAATGGGCATCTCTCACAGCTACCCTCAATCAAGTGAAGGGCTATTTGCAAAAATTAGAGGTCTCATTTTTTTGAAGGTATGAATGATATGCAAAACTAAATGTTGGTTCTGACCTTCCTACATCTGTAAGCCTTTCTGGAACCAAGGGAGACATTTAGGAGTCTCTATCTTAACCTGTTATACTGAGTTTCTTCCCATTTCATTTTTGGATTTAAAGGGTTAAAATCATCCCCTTTCCTTTTAATGCCATAACGAAAAATATATGGATTTTAGCACTTTTCCTCATTTTTACTTTGCTTATAGCAATCACTCACTCAAATTAATGATTTTTAAATTACCTAATGTAGATTATCTACTTCAAGATATTTAGATAAGTAGATTATCAAAATTATACCAAATAAAGTAATTAGTGCAAAATGCTTGAATTTTAATTTCAAAGCTCTGATTCTGAATTTCAAGAATGCATCTAGGAAAGATTTAACAGAAACATATGAAAAGGATGGACAGGGGTTTCTTTAGAGAAATATGCAAGTCTTGCTTAGTTCTAAATATCACCCCTATTCATAAACAGATTATATTCCCTCTGTAACTAAGAAGAAAAGAACTAGTCATGCAGAAATGAGTGACCTGACTGAACACTTACCTTGCACAAACTGCTTTTTCTCTATGTCCACTACAGAGGAAAGGACCACTGACTACTCTGAGCTTTTTCAGTCATCCACAGAAATGAGCCTGAGATGGACCATGGGCACCTCACCAAGGATGTCACAGCAACCTGTTCCCAGAGCACTGAGGACACTGGCACTTCTGAGAATGAAACCTCTTGTGTTAAGTGGCTTTTTCGTACTTCATGGGGAATATCTCTAAAACAGGTCTTTATTTTTAAATGGGGGTTTTTTTGTAAGATTGATTTTACCTCAAGACATCACAATCCCAACATTCATGTAAGGATGAATACATGCACAAATCCAGATGACCCAAACAGAAAAATCATGCTTCCCTGGCATGTGATATCGTAGAAGGCATGTTCAGTTTTCAGCAGAGAAAAACATTTACAGAATTCTACCTTTTCACAGAGGGAAAGCACAGTCCCAGCTTGGATTATTGCAACCTGCTCTTCGTTTCTCAAATTCTAAAATACAAAAAGATGCATTTTAAATTGTGTCAAAAATTCATCCTTTAACACAAGAAATAACTGTACTTCAAAAAACAAATAATTTATAACATTTAGAATTATAGACATGACCAAAAAAGTATCCCACTATTGAAAGTATTAAAAGTTAAACCAGGAGTGCTTAGTTTCCACTCAATTTCAGTACATCACCTCCCCAACACTTTTGCAACAATTTATTTTTTGATGAAAATTAAGTGGCTTCTGTGAGCAATTTTAATTTTTTTTTCCCTTAGGCCTGTTAATTGGACTATGGCCCTACAGCAAGTGAATCTCCCCTTTGTGCACTTTCAGAGCTAGACTTCCCATTAACGAAAACAATGCAAAGATCAAGTACAATAGAAACCTCCACAGAATTTTCAACATAATATGTAAATCTAGAACTTAAAACTAGCATTGTAAAGACCTCAATCTCTTAAAACTAGCTATAAACTGGACCCAGCTCGCTGGATGTTTGTGCCATAACTGCATGACCAAGATTTTATTCTATATTTGGCACTGTAGAAGAAGAAAGGGAGACAGTTATCCTTGCCTTGCCTTTCTCCCAGAAAATCCACTCCTGGCAGAAAATAGCCTTCACAGTAGTAGGTGATACTATTACTACTCAAAAGAAAAAACTCACAAACAACTTGGTCTGGTTTTCATTTCTGTTTTAAATCTGTTTTTATTTCCTTTTATATCTAGTCTGGGTATAATCTTTTCCCTCTGCCTACTACAGTGCCTTTTTCTACATCATTCAGTCAAGACCAAATCCTAGCTTAAAAAAATACACTTTTCACTGGTATCATTTTAACTGAAAGACTTCAAGTTTGTAAAAGCAGTACCTAACCATTCATATTCTTCATACAAATACATACAGGCATATAAAAATCACCCTCTGTATTTTCTTGGATGTTATTATCTGCTGTGGAGAAAAAAAATGCATTAAATTAACCATAAAACTGAAGATATATTTAAAATTAAAAATTTGTTACCCCATTATCTCCAAGAATATCTAATTTCTTCATAAGTTCAGATATGTTCACATCCTGAAAAAGATGTTCAACACTTATTTTTTTTAAAGTAGGTGAGAAATAGATTATATATGCTACATTTTATGTACTGTTTATTCACTTCTGCATGCAAAAAGAGTACAAATAAGTGAAACATTAGTTTTGTATCACAATTACAAAAGTGTTATTTATACTTTCAAAGACAAAACAAAATGTCACTTTTGATTACAGTAAGCAACCAAGCAACCTGAATGTTTGTGTATGAGGGCAGAATGTTCCTGCACCATTCACATTTATCATTCTGCTAATGTATGTAGAGGAACGATCAAAACTGATAAACAGGTTTAAAAGAGTGTTTAAAGACAAAAGGTTTAAAAACCATTTTTTTGTTTGTTTGGAGTGGACCATCAACCACATCAACCTACAGAAGTTAAAATGACAGAGAGCATGAACAAAACAATTGCTAAGAAGGTTCACTGGGTGATTTGCTGTTTGCTTTTTATTTTCGTTGTTAAACAAAAGTATGGAGTTTCAAATCAGCCTTACAGTGCCAGAAGGGAATGTGTGCAGAGGGCTGAACATGCTCCTCCAAACACCATCAGATCATAACCTTTGTGAGTAGAAAGCTATGTTTCTCTGCCAGTCAGCTCTCAGATCCACAAAAAGAACTGAACAACCCCTCCTTATTAAGGTCCGGCCACTGAAATAAAGAGAAACACTGCTCTGATCCAAAAAAAAAAAAAAAAAAAGAGAGAGAGAAAGGAATAAATTCACATGATGTTTTTATTTTGCACTGTGCCAGGATCCATTCTGAGGTCCCAGAACTCTATTTTCTACTTTAAAAAATTGTTGGAAGGGGTCATGGAACTGTCTAACCTGCCCTAATCACATTCTCCTGAACTATTCCAAGTATGGACCACAAGTTCACATGGACCAGGGATCATTTCCGTTGACAGGTTGTATGCAGCTATGTCATTAAAAAGTAGGAAGGTTTGACAACGTGGGAAAACATCAGTTCGTGTGAGCCCAAAATGCTTCATACACATACATAAAGCAAACCAGCCTTGTTAAACGCTGCCACCCTCAACTTCTACTCATATTTAGCACTGCTTAGAAGAGGCCAGTATTTCACAAGGATCTTGGCTCACCTATTTCATTGCTTCCAGTACATAACGTGCTGCTTTGCATTTATGCTTTGGGCAACTGCATTATGTCGGTAGTCAGGATAATCAATCTTTAACATTTTTTAAAGCTAAACCAGCTATGCTTGCAAATTACATACCTACATCAGAATATATTAGCTCATGATTCTATAATCAACAGACTCCAGTGAGGAAGGCTCAGAAAGAAATGAAAGATTTCCTGAAGACCAGACACAGATGTGGGAGAGAACAAATTAGTCCAGTAAAGTGTTGTGTTCAAGTTGTTCGATCCTGAGAAGTTCCCTCCCTCTCTTTCATCTCTTCCCAAACACTTCACTGGTGTTCCCAAATGTTATCTTAGTTATTTAACACTGCACATCACTAACTCTAGAGTGGTGCACATCTTAACACACTTGTATTTGGAATGATGTTAAAAACAAAGTACTGATTATGATAAGCAATGACAATGTTGAATGGAAACTTCTTTAGCCAAACAGTAATGCTAGTAAGGAATTAAATTCACTAAGACATACAAAATTTTGCATCTATTGAGCCAGAAATAATCATTCTAATTCATTTTTTCCATATGAACTATAAAGGATTAATTAGAAACCAAACCAGATTTTGCATCATTTTGGAATCTACCATGCTACTGATGGCTAACAACTTCGAAAATCACTAAAAGCAGATAAAAGGTCAGCAGTGTCAGTATGCTCATGTTAGGTGACTGCCACTCCTTACAGGTAAGTAAACTGAAGGTCAGCCTGAAAAGAACATTGCTGTTAATGACTGTCACAGTAGACAATGGGGAAAAATAGGAATTCTAGATCCTGGTACACTGTTCCCGCTTACAGCCAACATGCGAGTTAGAATGATGGATAAGCTAAAAGCAGGTCTGGCATCCCACAGAGGTTCTATTTGAAAGGTAATACACTGACTGATGACTCTTGATGTGGTTAGGGAGATGAGTATCCAACCAAACCTGTAGGTAAGAATGAGGTTTTAACTTTTTTCTTTTAGACTACTGAGCTTCCTAAAAATACGCAGCCTACAATTTCAGTTCATTTCCTCTAGAGATCGTACTGCACTCATTAAGGCATTGAATAGGAGCAAGCCTCATATAAGAGGACTTGTAAACACAATTAAAAATATTTGCATAAATCACTATGGCACTAAGATTATGCCTTAGTTACCTGTAGAAAAGTTACCCTGGCCTGTTGTGCAACATTACTGACAGCATAAGTCTGAATTCAATCTTAGCTGAAGCAGCATGCAAATCAAGTGTCACAGCTAGCCTGTTCATGGGGGAACAGAAGTGAAATAAGTAATTCTTGATTCCCCTTAGCAAAAGCTAAGGGAGAGCCTGATGTTTGTCTTGTACTTGATCTAAAATGATAGATTTCCACCTATCTGGGTTTGGATCAGGCAGCTCATGCTTCAAGGCCCTGGCCTAGGCAAATAACTTTAGTATGTTCATTCAACAAACAAAATGCTTCACTAAATTGGGTATAAAATAATAGCTGAATGTTGTATTTCTGAACTTAGATGAAAACATTTAATATTAAGAAAAATGTAGTGTAGCAAGTCTGACAATGAATCACATCAACTTCCACATTCTTCCCTAGACCGAATGTAAATTATTTTGATGGATCAGCCTTAATGTTCACTGAGGAACTCCTGATTGACTACCCGAACAGATTCTTAGGAAATTCTTTCCCGGGTTAAAAATATCTTTTCTTACTAAATTTATTTTTTCATGTTTTCTTCTCTGGGAAATGCCAAACAATTTGTTTGGATATTAGGTTGGTCATTCCAAAAAAGTTCCTAGCCATCCAACTGCATGCTCTGCATATACCTTTATTCCTTCCTGATGACAGAACAGTTGAAGTGCACTTCCATTGTTTTCAGGGAAGGTGGTTATATGAAGATTAAATGCTGGAGACCTTCGCTCTCTCTCCTGAGGAAAGATTTATTTAAAAACAACATGTGTGATTATCTGTAAACATTTATTCCCCACCTTTACAAAACATACTTGCATATTAAAAAGGCAGATTCCTGTTCACATTCCAAATATATGATATTTCCTCATATTTTTACCATATTTGAAGAATTTTGGCTTTAGCTAAACACAAAAATGGTGTTAGCTGCCAACTGACTCCATGCACACTTAGTTTCTGCAAAGTTACCAGACACTCCTCAGCTGCAGGAACCCTTGCAACAGTGGTCCTAATTGACAGAAGTTCTAAAATACTCTACAGGTTTTTATGATGATTATAACCTTATTTAGCTATCGCTTTCTTTCGTGGAACAAAAAAACAATTTGAAAGAAGAAACTGCAAAAAAAAAATTTAAATTCCATCATGGAATAGCATTATCACTGAAGATTTTCTCACTAAAACTAAAGCTGTGTATCAGCAGCTCCTTGTTTATTCTACAGTCAGCCTTCCTGTTAGAGCGTTTAAAATCTCAATTCATATTTACTGTACAACCCAGGATGTTAGAAAATGTTGAAAGGCAGCACTATTCTACCGTTACGATGTTCTTTGTGCCCAAAGCAAAAATTATAAGTTCCCATTTATCTAAAACTATAGTATTTCTAAAACTTATCCAGTCCATCTACTTGAGTTTTATGCATTTCTTCAAAATACCAGCCTATTATTTCTTCAAAGGCAGAAATAGAGTAAAGCAATAAACAAGCAATTTTACTTAAATTAAATTTTAATGTGCTTGTGAAAATGACTGGATTGAAGGCTCTGGGCAACCAAGGCACTGAGTCTTACTCTGAATTCTCTCTGGCCATGGGAACACAAGCGAGGAACACCAGATTTCATCTCCATGTTACAAGAGGAGGCTTTGGCATCAACAGTTTCATTTCCTGAGAGAGAGTACTACTGCAAATATTTTAGTTTTTATGACTATGTGTTGCTCCATTTTCTAAACTACAAAATGAGGTATTTTAATTGATATGGCAGGCGGGCTGCATCCATTCACTTAAGCGAGTTACAAAGCATGGTAAATCTTGTTCATGAACTAGATTAAACCTAATTTGAAACTACAATGTAGAGAGGAAAATCTCCATAGTCTATACATTTTTCCCCCTCACAGGCTTTATTTTAAATAATATTTACATTAACAGCCTAATTCTGAAATGGGCTTAAATGACTTAGCTGTCATAACCCAAACCCAAAAGCTTAATTCTTGTCCAAATTGTTATCATTTTCTATATTGTTAAAAATTAATCAGTTGCAACTGCATTAAACTCACCTAAATTTGCTTGCATTAAATTTTAAACAAATGATTGTGTTTTCTACTTTAGCCTAATTTTCATCTGAAATAATTTAATTGCTCTAACAAATATTGTCCTGATTATCAGAAGCATTGATGGTTTTCCTAAAGCATTGCATTGTCAGTCACATTTGTGTCTACATGCTTGACTACTAGGGAAAAACATCTTTTCTTGTAATCATACAAAAATACCTCAATTGTTATTCTGTAAAACAAGTTTTTAAAGCTTTGGCACATGACAAAATTCAACATGACACACTGAGCTTTTTCTGATGTGATTCTTCCATGTGAAAAATACACTAATGAAGGATGTACTGAAGAACATTTGTTCTTTTCCTAAGAATTTTTTTCAGCGGTTTTAGTTCTAAGAACACTGACATTTTAGGAAGCAGTTTCTAATGTAACTGCCAATTCAAATACTAAATCGTTCTGTATTTTACTTTACAGTTCTTTTAATAAAATATAAAGACGTATTAGAAAGCATATTTATTTTTCTGAACACCTACTGAAATTCTAATAACCTAAATTCATAACTTTGAATATAATGGGCTACGACATCAAAACATATGGTTGAAAAAGGATGAGAAAAAGATTAAGAAATGTCAAAGGCAAAAAGAGCGTCCGCATAACAGGAAGACATGACATTTCCATCTTTATCAGAGAAGCTACACATGCCGAGATTTTTGGTGAAACGTGCTGGGTGATAAAAATTATGGAGGAGTGACAATGACAGGTTTCTGGGAGAGTTTATTCTAAGTGGTGTTAAGAATGCTGATGATCTTTGAACGATGTGTCATCAGGCAACACAACTGCGTGACAACTGTGCATCACACACACTAGTTTAGTGTTCCTAAATTCAACATGAGCCCAATTAATCAGGTGATGAGAACCATTGTTTTCTGTTGAAATCACAGCCTACATGTTCAAATTGTTATTAACAAATAATTTTGTAATTTTTATTTCATTTATGCAAAGTATAGAATTTGTTTGCTATGGGCAACATATTAGTCTGACATACACTTGTGCTTCACTACTTTACTTTGACTTTGTCAGAGGGTTTTTTGTTTTCATTTTTCATTGGCCAATTATTTCCAGTCCATGACCAGTTTAAACCATCAGAAAATGGATTTCAGGTAAGAGAAATTCTTTCAAAGCATCTATCAAAATGTATTATTTTTAAAATAAATTTTTTTTGTATGAATGCGGTCAATCAAATCAGTGTAATTAAAAGCAATTATACATTGATGTGATGAATGTGTCAGATCTTTAGTCAGATCACTGCATGCAAGATGTGAGAAGGTGTGTTAATGTAATCAATGCCAAACAAGGCTATAGTATACATACCAAGTGATTTTACATGCAGGAAAGGAGCAGTTATGGAAATGAAACAAATAAAAAAGGCAAAATATTGCAAAACAAAATATTTTATTAGATGAAAACCAAACTATATGCAATTTATATTAGCTATATTACATCTTTATAAACATTAGTGAGCATTCTCTCCAAAACACATTAAGGCAGTGGCATCAAATCTCATTATCCCAAGATACAATATTTAAAAAATAGATACCTAAGTGACTTCCCTTAAACATGCACCAGACACCAGTAATCTTTACAGGAATTTCAGCTTGGGTTCAAACATAATTTCTGCTCCATTTGAGAGTTTGCAACAGAGAGAATCTCTTACTTCAAGCTCTAGCACTCTGAATTCTAACAGCTCATTCTGGTCTTTTGCATCTTGCATCTCATTCTTCAGCTGATGCTCTTCTTGTTCCATTCTGTAAATCTGTGAGACAAACACAACACGGTAACACCCTGTAGAAAAGATACTGCACCAAGTTTAGACAAAACCTAATTATTTCAGTTTCTCGTTACACATTGGGCCATGTCTTGCAGCTAAAGAAGGAACACCACATCAGAAAGTACTTTTGAGAACTGCCAGCAGCAAATGGTCAATGTTCTCTTAGAATAGTAATCTGGAAGTAGCATGAAAATTGATATGAATACTATATCTGAATAAGTTAAGCAAGACAAGTTTTTTTTTAAAATCAAGCAAATTAATCTGAATTACATTAACATTTGGGTAGACTGTTCTCATTGTATTTGCCCAACTAGACATCTATTATTTATAGTATATGAAAGACAATAATGGACGGGTTTTAATGCCCACTTTTTAATTTTCCAGAATTGTGCTTTGGGACACTAACAATGACAAAACAGAACTTCAAAACTGAATATTAATTATGTTGACTAATAGCTTTGGTCTACTGTCTAGTTTAACTGGGCGATCCTTCCTTTGTATGAAACTAAACAGAAGTGTAACATCTGCAATAATGCACTGCAACATTTATAATGCCCATGTAGGTGTCTGAATAAATTAAATCTGGCTTGGTTCTAGCTACTTTTAGACATGATTTTTCCTTTAGTTATTTTTGCATTAATATTAAGTTACTAACTAATAAAATTAATCTTTGATTTCCTGAGTACTAGCTAACTTTCCCACAATTATCAATGAAGAACAATGCAGATGCTCAGCTCTGAGTACCCCAGACTGTAAATACAATGTCTTAAACCAATCAGTATTACTTAATGTGTAGAAAACCTGTAAAAAGTGGAAGGTTGAAGGGAACAGGCAATTTTGTTAATGATCAGGCCAATAATAATCTTTGTGTAACTGTGTGTTTTGCTGGACATGAGAAACATCAACCAGCTTGGGATCTACTGTTGGCTACAATAAAGAGCAACTTCAATTCCTGAAGAGTACAAAGGCATATTCGTACTTTAATCAAAGACTTTCATTTAAATTTCTGTTTCTGCCTAGAAATAAAGTAAGTAATTTCATGTTGATGTTCCAGTACTCAGTGCATTCAATGACTTTTATGATAAAGGGCAGCAATGGTGAAAATATTCCCACATACCTTCTCTAGTAACTCCTGATTTGTTCTAATTAACAGCTGCTTTTCTTCTACCCATTTTGAATCCTATGAGGAAGAAGAGGATTAAATATATATGTATATTTTGTTAAACTAGACAAATTAATGACCGCAATAATTACAAGATTTCAGACATCATTGTAGATTCAAGTATAAAATGGTCACACACTGAAAAATAAAGCTATCGTAAATATTTCAAGGATATATAGCATTTTATACTACAGTGAAAATAAAAGTTCCTTCTGTTTGCTGTTGCAGAATCTGTTTTTTCCTAATAAGCATATAATTATAATCTTTACATGTAGCAATTGTGGGAGACCACAGTTATATAATATTTTGTGTCATTTAAAAAACATTTATGTACTCAGTTGAACTCTAAACTATTTCCATTGCAAAGGTTTGGGAACTTTCTTGCAAAATCATCCCATTTTGAGTGGTGAAATGCAAATACTAAGGGACAAAGGGAAGAAAAACATTAATTACCCCAAATGACTGAAAATAAGTTTCAGCAATATACAGATAATTACCCTCCGCCAAATATGTGAGAATCTGGCTAATACATAGTGTTTGTGACAAGGAATTCAAAGCTGTGGAGGAAGAGAAGTGATATAAGATATTCTGTACTCCATTTAAAAAACTGTATTTCTAATTGATCCCTTGTTCCAAAGCTGATCTTTCCTTTTAGGTTTTCCCATGGTTTTAAAAGGCCTCATCAAATATCCCTTTAAAAACTCAAGCTACAAAACCTCACTGCCATCCACATCTGGACATTCAGATTTAATGGATTATAACAGCCAAACTAGCTTTTTTTTGCCTGTAGAGAAAACTATTTACATATCCTTTCTCATGCTGCTCTAAGATGTTTAATAAAACAATATCCAACACTTAAAATGCCATAGTAACTCTAGATTGAATTATCTTCTAGGTTCAAGGGACAATTTATTTAAAATCTAAATGCATTTACTTAAATATTAAGGATGATACCTTCTTTGTCAGCAAGGTATTTGCACATCAATGTTGCATAAGAAATCAATGAAATCTGGATATCCCAGTCCATGAAATAGCCTTGAAATGTCAACTAAAAAATCTGAAACATTATGATATGATATTTACTCCAATTAGTTTTTTTAAAAAAAGTTTAAAGTTAGTTTTTCTACTTATTGTCTGCTACAGTTTCATATTCTACCAATTTTTCTCCTTTTTCCACTCATAAGCAAGAATGCACAAGTGCTTTTTAATTTTCATGGGATAAACAAGCTCTTCAGGGTTGTGGTGCTATAAGAATAACATACTAAAATGGGAACCAAAAAGGTATTACATTTGTCAAGAATTTTTGAAGCCAATAAAAAGAAACTGTTGAGAATAAAATCCAATGTCTACTTTAACATTTAACTGGCATTTTACTAAGGTCAAGAGTTGAACAAAGAGTTGCACACACAGGCTTAGGGTAGATATCTCAATGCATGGATATGGTAAAAGGCAGATTCAACAGTTGCACCAGACCTGCAGGTTCAACACCAGTTCGCACAAGTAGAAAAAACAGATTAATTTGGCCTACTGAAAATTAACTTTTGTTTCTTTCTTGATGAGGTCCAACTCAACTTTCTGAAAAAACCTAAACTCTGGAGGAATTCTATTTACACACCAGATCACAGAGAGTTGAGCATTCATCCATCTGGCATATTACATACTCCAATAGTTTTAGATTTATTATTTACCACTATTAATATTTCATAAGAATGTTTTTCACTTAATATAAATTTTCTTATGCATGCACATCAATGTATCTTGCAGAAATGGATTATTAGTTTTGTTTTACTTCTGAGGGAATACTGACAGATCCAGCAGAAGAGGAATTAACAAGGGCTTTTGACAGCTACTTTGAAATTACACATAAATTGTTTTATAAACCAAGCTTCATATAATTTTTTAACAATAAGATTCTAATCTCCTGCTCCAAATTTTACTTCAGGAAAATTGTGAAGGTCTTTTCTGCTTCTGTTTCCTAAAGGGGTAAAATAAGACTAAAATTTTCTGGGATAATACATTTGGAACTTCTGATTCATTGTTTCCTTTACAAAAGCACTTTAGGGATTGGCTTCCCAAATGAACACTTCACAATTATTATTAAATCATCATCCGTACCATGACCATCTAAATGACAAGGTAATAACAAAATAAATTTAAAAAAATCACATAGTGCACAAGGAATTCAGTTTATCATCACAACCATTTATTTTGTTGAATGTAAATACTAACAGGTCAGGAGAACCAAGCAGGTGCTAGAGCTCCCAGGAAGACACTGTGAACCCCTCTGTGTAAAGCTAATGCTCAGCGTACAAACCATTAAAGACACCACCATGCTGCTCCCTGTCACATCCCTGTTCACCTCTCAGGATTACTGAGAGATACAGGGTTGAAAATGTGGTTCTGAATCTTAAAGTGATAAGTAATTAAATTCTAATTTCCAGGTACACCTTTCTGACATAACACTCTTGAAGAAAAAAAATCACAGAAGTAATTTCTTACACGTGTATCCGAGTTCATTTATCTTACTTACATACACAGTACTTACATTATACACTGGAATAATCAACTATTTTGTTAACATTTTTGACTACACAGCAATTGGCCCACAACACCTTTCTTGTCAACACACCAGCATGGTAGTAGCAGATCCTCAAGAAGTTTTCCGTCTCATTTATTCTTCCAGAAGCTCAGTGAGCCATTGGTTTTAGATTGACAACATATTCCCTACTTGTAGTAATATTGTACTTACATGGAATACACTAAGAAAATTGCAATTGGTGTGGAAGCTAGCATAAATTACTTTCGCCCTTAATTTGAATATAGTCCCCAAACCTTTGCATTTATACAGAATCTTACAGAAAATTTTTCTTACAAAAAATAAACCATAAAAATAGTGACATTATTCACTTAGCATTATTTGCAGATTGTTTTTGTTCAATGCTACAGGATTGAACAAATGTATCTATAGATAGCTATATCTTGTTATCATTAGCAACCTGCAATTTTTAAATTCTTATTTCAAACAATAAAGCATAAAATAAATCTCCCCAACTTCTTCAGTGAATTCTAGCAGTTATGCAACTGAACAATTCACAAATGCATATTCATAACTCTTAATCAGACTTTCTGAAGACCCTAGACATTATTAAATATGCATCAGTAGTCACATCTTTGTCAAGTATTTACATACATTATATATACTGAAGCATAAGGCTTGCTTTTACTTTGTGTGATAGTTTGGGAATTTGAAAGCAGTTGGGTTCTCCAGTAATTTAAACCCAGGAGAGTAACACCATGAGTGGCTTCCAGTAACCTGACACACTCAGTGGTACATTTCTCTAGCATGTCTACAAGTTTGGTTTTTTTTAATTTTTCTGTGCTACTCATCAAAAATATTCTCCAGTACAAATATAGAGCATTTATTTTATTGGATTTTATAACAAATATTAACAAAATGGAAAACAGGAGAAAGGTCTTCGCCAAATGACAATGGGAACAGAATTTACAATGCATGTAGACATGTTTTTTTTGATACTATGCTTTAGTGCATTATGTGTTAGAAAATTAATCTATAATGACATTTTCTTAGGCTGTAAAATACTTCCCTTTACTTAAGCAATCTATTGCTGCAGTCGCAATTAAGCCGCATCATTCACACTAACACACCAGTAAGCAATGAAGATGGCAAGGGCACCACTGCAGGCAGCAGAGAAAATGATGTGGTAGAGGACATTAAGAGAGCCTTTTACCTGTCCTTTCTCGATTAGAGCTTTCTCCAGGTCCTCAATTTTTGCCTGACACCTGAGAAGATCAGCTTGCAGTTGTTCGCGAGTCTGGGGAGGGAAAAAAACCAAAAAATGCATGTGTGCCCAGGCACATGCAGGCAGACAGGCAGATTTAATTACACACAGAATCAAAGTAAAGATACTTTATACTGCTTTATGGGCTGTCCAGTCAGCTTTTAATGCTTTTCATTAAAATAATTGCTTTTGTGTTTATGTTACAAAATATTTAAAGCTGTCAGATTAACAGGATTTTTCCTTCCTAGCTTAGAAAGATGTTATCATCACACATTCAGCGACAAAGCTCTTCCCAGGGGGGAAACAAAAACTTAGGAAATGAAAAAGCTCTAAGAAGCTATTCATAAGCTTTAGTAATTCAAGGCATTGGGGGAAAAAGGGACAAGGGAGTAAGAGATCTGTATTAAGAAATGAAAAATGCCGTTAGGTAAATAAAATATATTGATGCCAAATAATTTATATATCCCATACATAGCATACACTGGTCAGTTCTCCTTGTTCTACTTAATTATTACATTAACTATTACACTACAGTAGGTATTACCTGCTGAGTCCAGTGAGGCCTTATAAGGAACTGAATCATAAAGGTACTAAACAAAACAGATATAAAACAACCTGTTTCTAGAGACCCTCAGTCACTGAGGCTCTTTGAGCTACTGCAAGTACTTTTCCCAGCCTATTTCAGGTAGTTTTTCACCCAAACAGTTAAAAAATTCCCATGGGGATTTCCTTCTACGTCTTTGCATCTTTGGGTCCTTGTTGTTTACCTTAAGCCTCATCTAAAAATAATAGGAAACGTTCATCCCACCAGAACATTGGGCCCTACAAAATAAATCACACAAAAAGCTACTTTCTGACTCACTCAAAAGATGGATTTGCAAGGATATGACAAAAAAGACCAAAACACCACTAAAAAGAAATAACAATGATTTCCAAGTCTACAAAAGGACAATTTGCAAATGCCCACAAAATAAAATTTTAAAAAAAGCCCATGAAGGCAAAGGAAATACATAATGGCCTCTCCTAAGTGTCAAATACATGACTGCCCCTGAAACGGTACTTTAATAGTAAATGGAATTACACCTTCCATCCCTATTTTATCTTGAGAAGTGATCTCCAAAGTCCTTATTGCTTTCCTTGGCTAAGAGTCCTACTTAAAAAGAGAGTGTCATAAGTGACTAGGCATTTGTAAGATGTTGAGAACTGTAACAAATAAAGCTATAATTCTACTATTATAAGAACTATATTTCACAGGGGAAATAAAAAAAAGGAAAGAACTTTAGAGCCACTACAAAGAACCTTTAAAAATAAAAACACAGAAAAGCTGACACATTTTAAGGAAAACCCTGAATCTTCTAAATTCAGGCTCTGAGGGTAATAGGCTAACATTTTTAGCTGTAAACAACTCCAGATAATGTCAAGTAGTCTACATTCTTCTGTAATTTTACCTTGAAAGTTTTGCTTATTAACATATAGAAATTCTGTTCCCACAAGCATATTGTTTCTACACATGAAAATATTCACTAAGTGGATTTTAAAATGTTTGCAAGAGAAAAGGATGTGGATCATACAGTGCATATGTATGTCTAATAACTATTAATACAGAATTTTGTGAATATTTTAGTAATTGTTTTAAGTAGTGGAACAATTAAGCTAGTGGCAGCTTCTACCATTAAATTGAGTTCTTTCCCACCAGTAACTTTTAAACCACATTAAAATGCCTTTCTGCATTATTAGCAACATGTTGCAGTGGCACAGTACAGTGTAGGCCACATGTGGCAAGGCAGTAACATGTAATAATTCATAGTATTTAATACATTTCTCATTTTGGGGGTTCGAGGAAGTTGTAGGGGGTTAGTGTTTTTTAATGCTTAAACATTTTTTAGAATTACACTCTCATTGAGGTTCAATCACCTGGCCAATCTCTGTGCTCAAAGCTGAGAGAGGATACTGGTTCCATCTTCTTTACTCCCTCCCTCGGGCTTTTACTCCTGAGCTTTCTTTTACCCAGACTGAATAGTCCCAGCCCTTTCAGTCTTGTGTATCAGGTTCTCCAAGACCTTAATCATCTTTGTGATCCAGCACTCCAGACATCACTCAACATGAGTAGAGAGGAAGGGTCACCTACATTGGTCTGCTGGGGACTTTCTTCCTCACACAGCCCTGGAGGTTGCTGGCTCTCACTGCTGCAAGGGCACACTGCCAGCTCATGTTCAACTTGGTGTCCACCAGAAGCCCCCACTTTATTTTGTGCAAAACTGTTTCCCAGCAAGCCAGCCCCAAGTCTGTGCTGGCACATGGAGTTATTCTTCCCCACAGTTTTCCTACCCTTGGTTGAATTTAATGGGATTCCTCTTCACACATTTCTTCAGGCAGTTAAATGCTTCCTCTGAATGGCAGCACAACCATCTCCTTTCAATTTTGTATCATCTGCAAACCTGGAGGTGAAACACCTCCAGCTGAACTTTCTGCCACTGACCACAATCCTCTAAGCTATTTCAGCCAATATTCAGTCCACCTCACTGTCCACTTGTCTCCTGTTGCCTTTCTTGAAGACAAGAGTGACATTTGCTTTCTTACAGTCCTCGAGAACCTCACACAATTGCCATGACCCTTCAAAGATAACTGAGCGTCACTCTGTAAGAGTGGCCTTGCAATGACATCAGTCAACTCTCTCAGTAGTCACTAATCCACAATTTCATGCTGTACTTCATGCAGAATGAAGGACATCAGGTGAAGATGATGAAATTTCCAGCTCTATAGCTATTTATTGCCCATTTGGATTTTATATGTTCTTTGGTCATTGATCACAATAGATATTCAAGCAGAGGGTGACTTGTAAACATGTCACAATTCTAGACATGCTGCTATCTGCAAGGAGTTGAAATAAAGTAGAAGTTTTGCTGCTAGTTAACTCAGTTCTTTGTTTGATGCCACTTCTGTTCACTGAATAGATCTGGGGACTGAGTTAAAGCTCACCAGCTCATTATGAAGTTATTTTGCTCATCTCCAGTTTGGAAAAAAAAGAATGGAAAATGCTAGCATGACTTCTGCTGACCTCATCTCTGCACCACTAAAGGGTAAAACACAGTGGTGGCAGAAGGGCAAATACTCTCTCACACCTATAATGCCTATAGCACAGAGATTAGTGTGAAAGTAAAAACATTTATTTCAGAGAGAGTAAACACACACACATGCTGATCCAATAGCAGACATAGTTAGCTAGGTACTTTCTGGTGAAAGAATACGCTCAATCTAAGATTTTAAAAAACAAATTATGATTTCATATATTCAAAAAACCACTTCAATAAAAACTATCTTTTTCAGATTTGGGTCATATTTTTAATATGTGATGAAATTAACTAAGTACTTATAACAACCTATCCTGCAATTCATTTAAAGTCCATCATGTCACTATCCAAATTGCAGGTTCAACCAGGATATCACTCTCAATAACACTGTCTTACTACCGAAATCTGTAATAGATTATCCATGCAAGAATAAAATATGACATCTTTATTCTGATTATACCAGATTAATCTAAATTTTTGCCTTGGTGATGGTATCCTCTAATCCTCAAAAACATTGTGCTTTGCATTTCAGTGACCTGCAAAAATACCTCCTGCTGTTACAAGTTGTTTCAGCTTTTTCAATTATTTCAGAGTTAAAGGAAATTCAGTTAAAAAATTACCCTTGCTTCTCTCTCTGCATCCAGGGTTCCGCCAACTTGCTCTTGAAGCAATGCATATGCTCGTTGCAAAGCTTGATACTCTCTTGTTAGCTGGCAGAACCTTAGTTCAGCTTCTTCTTTAGGTGTGCTCTTAATGAACAGGGGGAAAAAAAGTGGTTTTGTATAAATATATATATAATGGGTTTGTCTATACAGACAGATAGACTCACAAACATAACAAGCAATATAACTCATACTGAGTCTTAGTTTAATAAAGGTTTGAAATCCTGAAAAACATGGAAAGTAAAAGAAGGAAGGATAATGAGTAACTGTCTTTACACACAATTTCAGGACACTGTACGTTACCACATAAGGCAGCAATGTATAAAAATGGGAAAAAACTGTCTGGGGAAACATGAGAGAAAAAAGTCTTATTCACCACTCTCTTCAGCAACTCCAGAGCCACAGGAGCTTCAGAAGGGACTCATGCAGTCCATCCCTCCCTCCTTACACTTTTTCTCTACAATGCCAGGGTAAAGCACACTAACACAGAAGTTATATTTCAAAAGCCACGTTTCTTTAAATTTATTTTTTTAATGTGAATTATTTTTAAAATCTTGATCTCCTTTGAATTTTGAGCAACTGACTTGAACACTTACAAGGTCTTTCCTATGATGCTGAGGACAAGAATGTCCTTCCCTTCAATTAATTTTTGCTCCAGAAACTTGAGTTCCAAGAAAAAGAGATGACAATATTATTAAATATTAAACCTAGAAAAAAAGGAAGCTCCTTTTGACTGAGGAGCATTAGGCATTTGAGTTAGGTTTATAAGTTAGTGAACAAGAAAGAAAGATGAAAAAGAGCATCTAATTCATGCTTTGTCCTCATGCCCGCAATCTTCTAAAGTAGGCCAGCAGCACTGTATATCACAGAGCTGAGATAAAACATGTCAGTGGGTATTTACTACCTATGATCATTTAAGTCTTCATGAATTGTAAAAGCCTCTCTGAGTATTATGAGCAAAGAAAGAAACTCCTGGTTGTATCAAAACAGTCAAATAAATTATAAGGTTGAAAGGCAAACTATTGTCTAAGAACTACTGACTTTTGGCAAAGTAGTTTGCCTATTCATTTTCTTTTGACTAATAACAAAGAGTTTGAGAAAAACAATTTTATTTCTCAGCACAATATCTGCCAAATCTGTCAGGCAGAATATTATCTTATTAATTCTATTGCAAAGTGTATATGTTACTGGACTTGAAAAAAACCAAAGGATTTCTCTACCAAATCTTTCACAGTTCCTGTGGAACAACAACTGTAAAAAAGCTTACATTTATAGTTCAGTGTCGAGTTTTTATAGAATTTAAGAACAAATCAGTACTACTTACATCTTCCAAATCTTCTTCTGGTGTTGCTGGTGTCCTGTCTGTTTTATCTGTGTTGTATGAAGTTACAGACGATGTTTCCGAATCAACAGATTCTTCATCAAATCCAAAAAATGTCTCCACAACATGCCTCTGAAAAATTAGGGTTTTTCAGTTACTAGCAAAACAGCTGGAAAATCCCAATGACTCAAGGTCTTCTTTTTTATTATTTAGGAGGAAAAAGAACTCCATTGTAAACTCTTGTTCTCCGATTGAACGAGCTAGTTTTTCAACATCATTTGTGTAAGAACCTCCAAGAACTGAACTGCACGTAGTACTGGGTAATTGCCAACAGAATAATGCTTTAGGAAAGCCATAGAAGCTAGTTATCAAAACAGGTATTACAAGATTCACAGTAGAGGAATGCAATATCTATTCAGAAGAAAGCAAGTCAGTATGATGTAACATATAAGACATGTAACCAAAAGGAAAAAAATATTCTGGGGACCAACGTGGAACAAATTTAATTGTTCATACTAACAGTAAAAAGAGAAGACAGATTAATTTATATCTGTTTTGCAACCCCCTACTTAAAAGTATAAACTACTGCTTACCATTTATTTTTTCAATACCATCATTCTCAATTCTTTCAGAGAGTTTGCTCCAGTATTAAGACTAATCAAAAAGACATGCCTGGGGAAACACAGCATTTCACTGAAGATTTTAAGAATTTTACACATTCTTATCAATTACATGCATGCTTACAGAAAATTAGACAAAATGGGTAGTCAGTGGAAGCGAATAGTACAATATTAATTGTGAAAATGTGATATTTTATATAAAACATCACTATTTTAGGAGTTTCCCCTTCTGTCAATTTCCTAACATATGTTCAGAAAGCAGAAAAGTTCCATGGAAACACCACTGGTCAAAAAAAAAATTTACTTATACATTTAATTAGAAAAAACAGTTTTTCAAGTATTTTTCCTTCCAAAATAGGAAACATTAAATGCTATTAGAAAGTACAACTTTTTACACCACACAAGAATTCTTATGATCCAACACAATTTCAGAGAAGCAAGAAAATTAAGAAAATTTTTTAAAAGAGTGTTACGAAGCATCCTAGACAGGACGCTAGTGGAGAGAGGTGGTTGTAAGAAGATGAAGAAAGATCTGTCAATCCATCTCTATATTTTCTGCCACTGCTTGATGCTGAGTCAGGTGCTCTTGATGATCTTGATGTTCCAGTTTGTTATTTGTTTTTTTAAAAAACATACGGGTTGTATGTAAGAAGATAATACTTTGTTCATTAAAAATGCCTAAAGGGCGAAAAATGTTATCAGTTGTTTTTCCAAACATGAATCCTACACTTCAGCAAAGCCAAATTTACTGAGTGGAATTCTGAGCTATAAATTTAATTCAAGGTTCTGAAAGTTTTTATCTATAATGCTGCATCTCATGATAAATTCCAAATATTTACTCTTGCCTACCATCTTCTAGACTTATCTAACTTTAGAGACTTTTCCAGTATGTCTACATAAATACTGTCTTCACAAAGCCCTGTAATGCTTCCTGTATTCTTTTAGCTCAGCACAGATCTCATCAACAGCCAAAATATTCTATATTGATTTAAGTAGTACCATAAAATCAAGCTTATAGGTGTGACTTTGTGCCTGCACGCATGACAACATGTGCTCCATTTACAGTCTGCAGCCCTGGTCACCACGGTCCACCAGGTCACAGCCTCATTACTCATAAGCTGAACAACCCCATAATAGTTTCACAGTACAGCTTATTCCACTCCAACTGCCACGGACAGCTCCAACACCCTGTCCTGAATCACTTAATTGCTTCACTTAAGATGAGCCCTTCTATCAGTGTTTTAAAAATTTCGTTCAGACCATGTACTTAAATGAACCAGTTCTAATAAAATCTCCTCTTGAAAAGACGTTATGCACTCAAAAAAACCGCACAAAAACCCCTAAAGCCACATCTTTTCTAAACAGACTATGCTTATCCGTATGCATGCATATAAAAATGATGCGGCACAAAAGGCAAAGAGCTTCTGAACAACCTTTAGAAACAGCTTTCCTTTTGCGAGCTACTAGACCACTATTTTGTGTATTCAGAAGAAAAGGACTGTAGTTATAGTGCTACAGTTCTGCAAAGACACATTATCCTTTTCTCAGTTGTTTAGGAAGCACTGTGATCCTTTCAACAGGCTATGTCTAAGATGCTCAAGACAAACAGTTCCCTGGGATAATTCAATCCTTTCCTCCAGCATTCATCAGTTTACCTTTCCGTCCTACTTAACAAAACAAAGGACACAGGGAATAGATTTAAGCTGCATTCTAAAAATATAAAGATTTATCCAGAAAGTTAATGTGTTCTCTCACACTTGAATTACAAACATTTCAGACTCCTCTTTCCTAAGTACAAAGGTCTACCACAAAAACAGAGGTGCAATTAGTCCCTGGGAGATGGCCCATCCAGAATTTCTCCTGCACTGAATACTGGTTGCAGCCCTCAACCATCTAAGAGTAACACTACAAATAAATATTGAAAGTTGAAAATAGGGCTAAAGAAATGGTGCTATCTTCAAGTTGTAAGGAAGACAAATTTACAATACAAGTTGCAAGCTCAACTCACTTTTTTGACTCCAAACTGATCCACACATACAGTTTCATAAAGATGAAGCTAGATTTTATGAAAGTAAAGAAGATGGTGGAAGGTAAACAAAACCCCAGAGACTTCAATGAAAACCACCTCCCCACTTTGCAGTGCAGATACGCTTTACTCAAAGGTACTGAAAGCAAACCCAGAACAAAGCTTCATACAGACTCTTACGCTGATTCTTCTATATCCCGCTCTTCTGCCCACATTTGCTTGCCTGTGGATGGAGCTCAGAACCACCACGTGCTTTGGAGGAGCCCAGCCAAGGACAAACAACTCGGACAACAGAAGAACAGCTGACCCTGCTCATGCCTCCTGCTTCAAGGGTGTTTGGCCTCAAAAATGACAAAACTCCAATTTATTGTCATACATATGGCACAGAGAACCCAGTACCATGATGGTCAGGAGCAGCTTAGTTAAAACTGACAATTAGACCTACCATACCTGTGGGGGTTTTTTGCTATATCTCTGCTATACAGTCACTTAGGTAACTCAGGTTAAGTATATGTCTTCCTTTCATCCTGCAGGCACACACCTATACATGCTGTTCCAAGGGTGAAAATAAAATAGCAAAACAGCAGTGGCTTTGATTTTATATAAAGGTAAACAGGTTTGAGAAGATGCTGAAAGCAATGACATTGCTGTGACAACAGATACTTACCTGCCTTTAAACATTTCACTAGTAGCAAAAGGAGGGGGGAATAGTTTGCATATATAAACAAATAAATCACTTGATTATTAGATGTGAGGGAATTATGAAAGAAAAGTAGTATTTCCCATCACACTAAAAAACCCCAATACTCAAAGGAGAGTTAAAAGTCAAAACGTGTTAAATGCTATACAGAGTGCCTATAATATTTGGAGTTACGAGTGAACCACTTTATTTATTTTTAATGACTCCTTCCTTTTTAGAGATTCTATATATTTATCACTTTGTGGAGCAGACACTTTCCATGGCATTAGAGATTAGGTATTTAGCCATTGTATATTTCTAGCACATGTATGAATTGCTTCTTAACATAATTACAAAAGAGCAGTGTTTATTGTTGATCATCTAGTATCTGAAGTAACTAGTTACAAGAACTGATTTACAGCAAAACCAGAAATTAAGCAAAACCTTGCCAAATTAACTGGCAAGGGAACAGCTGCAGAGAGAGAAAAAATGGGAAAAAAAGACATCTGAGTCATACAGTTGTTGATAAACACTGTAATAAATATTAAGGCATCAATAAATACACCAACTCCAAGGGAAATTTCACACATGGTTCAAAAGCTTAATCACAATAATCTTTGAAAAGTATATAGAAACGCACTATACTTGGATTTTTGTAACTATAAACTATGCAAATTCAGGTTTCATTCAAACTTTTCTTAAAAGTTTCTCAACGACTTAGAGATTCTTTTATATTGATTTGTTATATACATTTGTTATTTCTAAATCATAAGTTCTTAACTGAGAAAATAGTCATGTAAATTACTGAAAAATTTTGATTTGAATTCTAATTTCCACTGACTACTGCCATGCATTTAATACCAAGTATTTTTCATGTAGATTTATATCAATGTTTTCACATAATTTTAAAGTAAAATTATGCATTAGGTTTTTATAACTCAAGTATTAATGCTTCTACTGTAGTATGGTGCTCAGTAAACATCAAAGTTTACAATGCTATAAATCAATAGTGACACATAGACTGCATTATATGCAAATTTCAATATAATCTGATTTCTCTCTTGCTAAAGTAGTTTCATTTTACATTTAAATATCTCATTTTCAAGTACTTAATTGAACATGAGAAAAATTACCTGAGATGTATTTCCTTGTAATGCAATCAGATTTGCTACACAGTAACTTCTTACCTTCATGCTTATATGTCATTTCTTGGCAGCCAGAAAAATACAGGCACACCAAAGCACAGAGGCAGAGAAAAAAAGAAAAATATAAAACAAGAAATATGAACCCCATCACACCAGTGTGCAGGCTTTCCACTACCACGAATACAGTTTATTTATTAAAGTTTAAACAAAGACATAAATCCGTAGAGTCCTGCACTTTCCAAACAAGCTGGGCAAATATGTCTTATTTTAAATGCATGACTCCATCAGTCATGAAATCACTGTAACTCCATTCTACATGTCAAAAATAAACAAAACCTAAAAAAATACTGTTTCTGAAGTTTCTTAGTTATTTCACCACAAAAAAAAATGGGAAAAAAAGAAGCTCCTTGAAAAAAATCGTGCTTTAAACAGCAAAAGATTCACCTGGTGAATCACAATTTTTTTCCTAGCAAGTCCAATGGCCCATTAGTATAAAAAAATCCAAATAAACCTCCACCAGTTTAGGCTGCTTCACCTCAGAATAAACCATCCTTCAGTACCTGACTTTATAGAGTTGCTACATTAGTCCTCTAAACACCTTGCAAGCACAGAGGTTATAAAGCCCATCCCACCTGGCTGCTTCTTTCCTCAGGGAACCAGAGCCAGTTGCCAGCATTGTTGCATGGACTCCTATGCCCCACTGGGAATTAAAAGAGTGCTCAGTCAAAGCTACACTAGCAACAGTAACCTAGTGCACCTACAGAGCTCCAGAAATAACACAGACATCTAATTACAAGAGCAAAAAACAAAACAAAATCATAACATTAAAATTTTCAAAAACTTTTCAGCTGAACTGATGTTCAGGGCTGTAAAGGCTACTGGGCTGGCCTGGTAGATCATTCAACGCAAGCTGTCTCAAGGATGGAGAAAGACATACCATGGATCCTGTTCCAGATAACAGGAATCACTGCCAGGAAAATACTCATATTAGGAACAACCACAGGCACTGCGCAGTCAGAGCACCTCAGAAATGAAAGAAGCTGGAGTGTAGAAGTATCTGTTTAGGAGAAGCTGCAACAGTAGATGAGTGCAAATCTTCACCCTGTGTGCCAAGTTCCTGGTTATTAAAACAAAAAACGAATCTTTCTACACCTTCCAGTTTGAGCTTATCTGACCATTTTCATGAAATCTTATTCTCATTAGTTATTTCATCTTTCAATTTGCCAAGGGAAGTAGGACACATCTGGAAATAGATACAACTCCACAGCCCAACTTGGTAATTCACTGTGTTAATGCTAATTTTGCATTTAAAAATCCTTAGAAAAGCAAAGCCAAAGATTTAGATCAGTAATTTCTTATTCTGAGTGTTTGGCTGGGACAGATACATCCATAGTTTCACTACTATTCTATACAGGTTATATCATCTTATGGTATAAAGATATTACACAGACCATAGAAAGAAATACACTTGTCTATATATAGAGAAACTCATCTTAGACTGCTTTTATAATCCATGGAGAGAAATAGGCAATTTTAGGACAAAACTCACACGTCCTGTTTACATATCTACTTCCAACCATTTAATGCTAACATTTTGCCCAGAGTGTGATGTCTGTATTTCATGCCCGTTAATGACATATAACAAACATTTGCAATGCTTGGTTAAATGAATTCTACCATTTTCATCTGGATTCTTGAAAGAGGTTACAATAATGGAGAAGATGATGGTACAATCTCAACAGCTCATCTGAGTAGGAGACGAGCTCATTCTACAGAGATTGCTTAAAGAAAAAAATGTAGGAAGACTGTGGTACTGATTAATTCATTCTTTCTGAAGTATCTATCATATCCTAAATAAGAAGCACACCCCTACTAACTCTGCTGCTCATTCTGCAGTAAACTCTGCAGAATTCTTCCAATTATAGTACTCTTAGCACACAAAGAACAGCACTGCCACAATTTTTTTAATGGTATCGTGCACATTCTCTCCAATCCTCATGTTGTTCAACTCTTGTTTTGTTCAATAAGGAAAAGAAGACACAACAAAAGCATCAGGTTGCTCAAGACAAAAATGTAAAAGGAAAGGCTACAGAGTCTACGTCAGCTGAAGTTCTATTAACATAGATTTTTAAGATATAAATGCATATTTATTGAAGTTTTCAGCCTATAGAAATTAGCACCACCAGTTATCAATGCCTAAAAATTAAATTAAATAGTTCATTTAATTAGGAACTTCAGAATTTACCAAAAGATCCTACACATTTAACTTAAAGTCAGATAAAAGCTAATTATTGGAGAGGACTATAAAAAGTACAGCATAAGTTACATACATATATATATGATTTAACATACTTTTTAAAAAATTGATCTCAACACACAAACTTCCAGTTATACTACACCAAGAAAGAATGGTTTATGGTTGCTGCAAATACATTTGTCAAGATTTGTGGTTACTTTCAAATTTTTCTTTTTTAACATCTAAAAGACACACCATTATTAGAAGAAAAATTTCAAGACACTACCAGTTAAACAGAGAATCCCAAAGAATGCATTTTTCAGAGTACAGGCACTAAGAGAATGCAGAGCAATAAAAAAGCACCACCTGGAGGTCATCAGGAATAGACTATGCAGAACACACTGACAACAGGCACCCATTTATAACATGTATCTTAAGCTACCATATAAATGATATTTCCACTCTTCACTTTGATTTTTTCCCTCTTACCCAATTTCCCTCCCCTCACATGCTCCAGGTTGCTAATGTCCAACTTCACAAAAAAAATTATTCAGCAAATTAATTACTTTAAGCACTTGTTACAATAAACGTTGAAGGTACATTCCAAAGCAAAACTTTCCTGTTTCTACAATCTAAATTTTTCTCTTGTACTTTGCATTCTAGAGCAGAGTCGTTGGAATCTTCTTACTATTTATATATCACATACAAAAATGTGAGTTCATTAACATCTCTAGCATGAGTCAAAGTTTTCAACTGTGATTAAGCACTATGTTGGTAGTTTAAAGGGTGTATGTTCTTGTAAAAGGACTGAGCATTTGTCCTTTGAAATGTTTGTTGTTTCAAGTCATTGGGTCATTTAGGCCTTAAGCCACTTGAATATTCAGGCCGCAGTGGCTAAAAGGGTAATTTTACTGTTTGTTTAAAACAAACCCCAAAATAACATCACTTGTGTGCAGTACAAAACTTGCAGTTCCTGAATTATCCTAAAAAAATTAAGCACTTATCAGAGAAAACAGAAGAATTATATGTTTTTTTCCCATTAAGTAGAGCTTTAAATTCAGGCAGTATTTGAAACAGGTGTTGTTCACAACAACAGAAATGCATTAATAACCGAAGGTTTGCTCACCTTTGGAGGCTTCAGACTTTTCCTCCTCTGTTTTTTAGACCGCAATAACCGTTCTCTTTCCTAGAAGGAAAGAGAACATTTTGGTATGGGTTTGTTTTAAAACTATACTTAGATATGTCTAACACAAAGAAATGTCATTAACATTTTCTTAAAGCCTATGGTAAAGCTAACACAATGTCTTTATCCTTTTGAATAACTCTGTGTTGATAGAACACCACCCTGTACTGCAGCTTTATCCCTGTAGCAAACAAACCTTCAGCCATATCCTTCAAGTATTTGATGGGAAGTTGGCAAGAAAAGGCTTTGTTAAATACTGGGCACAGATTTCTGTAAGTTCCTTTGACTCTTTTACCAAGAAGCTCACTATGGAAACAGAATTCACAGTCTCACTCCAGTGTTCAATCATCCTGAAGAAGCAGGTCTGTAGCCAAAAATTAGTCCAGTCTTAGTAATTACAAGTCATTGTATCAGGCATACTCTGATATACGAGCATACATAAGCAGTGTTATATGTGACTTATCCTTGTAGGGCAAAAGTCTCAAATCCAAAGACATTCTCAGTCTGTCAACTTAGTCAGTGTCTTTTTTCTGGTGAGACTTCGGTGCAAGTTCACAATTAACTATACCATAACACAAGGAGGTTGTGACTGGAAATGCAAGACTTACATCTAAATCCAAGAATACTGCCTTGAATTCCAAAGCAGAAGAGGAAGAAGAGAAGGTTAAAGAAATGCAAAGGAGCAAGCAAAAAAAACCCCAACAACACAGGAGGCAGGTGCTCTGTCTTCTTGGTTTTTTCCTGATTCTTTCCTTAGCTCTGCATCTTTGTTTGCAGCACCTCTGTTTTTAAAAGACTGATTGCAGTTCCAAGTGCTTCGCTAGCAGTTATTGCTCCCTGCATGGTATTTTTCTATTCAGAGTTATTTGCTTCACATTCAGTTCAGAAACTGGACAAACAGGAAGCTCCCAGTGGAAAATACAATACAATTAATTATCAGCACATTGTTCCAGGAATTAAGTTTTGGAAAAAAAAATAATTGAGAAAAGCACAGCAAGTTATATAGCATCTTGAATACATGTGGTTTGAAAAACAGGAAAAATAATGACTACTAAGGTAGACTGGTGTAGGTATTTCATGCTGCAGAATAATATAATAATTTAAGCTAAAGTCGAAATCAGACAGTTGAATTTTATACTGTTGAACGAAAATCCTGTCTTCTCAGGTACCTAGTTAAGGCATGTTAACTAGGGTCTCCTGCCTCCCAAGCAGGTGTCCAAACAGATGGATTTTGCTCTCATCTAACTTCAGTGCAGAATGAACAAACACTTCCAAAACTCCAGTCCTTCCTGTTTCTAACCTTGTTTGTAAGAAGACTGATTCATTTACTATCTCAATAATACATCCAGCTACCAGAACAATAATAATGCCAATTAAAAGCCACCAGCATATTTTGCAGTCATCTAAGTTTCCCTTGACAGTTTTCCTTTTAAGAATTAACCAGAACACCACTATTGTGGGAGAACTCAAGTTGGCATGATTTCAACAGCATCAAAAGTATCCAACAGAGGACACTGTTAATCAGTTCAGACAACCCTATTGCCTAAGACTAATGTTCTTATTTCTCTGTATCATTTTGGTCTCAGCTGGAGTTAAGCTGATGATTTTTATATTAATCAGGTATGGGACGTTTGAGTCATTCTTGATAACTATGATACATCGGTATTCTGTAGAGGCGTAGTTTGGGCCAGAAATGATAGTTCAGAAGCATAATGAAATGCAGAATTCCACTGCATTCACATAGAAGGCAAAACCTCAATTAGTTCGTACTGCCAACGAAAGCAGTACCCTAGTTAATAATTTTACTTATTTCTGCAAGTGGAATAGTATCTGTAAATAGGAAAAACAGCAAAAATGAAACCATAGTTTAAAATATTTATTTATTTTACTTTCACACTAAACACAAGTTAATACTATTTGATCAGTCAGGATACATTATATTTCCTCACATCACTATCTGAGACAGTAAAAAGAGAGTCCTTTCATACCCACTTTACACTGAAATATAAGAGAGGTTATATCTGCCATATACTGCACATTTAATATCATATCACGGTCCCTGCCTGTACAGTTGTATTTGGAAGGTAAAGCAGCATTGATTTGTGAACTAGACCCTACATCAGAGCGTCTGAATAACATCCTACTGCTTGGAACACTGTGCCACTGGAGAATGAACTCAGACATCAACCTTCGGCACTGATTTCAGAGAAAAATCCTGGCTCAAAATCTCAGGGAACTGCCAGAAATAGAGACAATGTTCCAGATACAGCAATAACACATCTTGTTGTTTTATCTTTTTGGATCCTCTATTTATTTTTATCTTCAAAGCTGCATCCAATTGTTTCATTTTCTATTTAGATAGAATGCTCTTAAATTCTCTTTTTCATTTTGTAACTGTCAGTAGTGCCATTTGAGATGTCTGAGTCTGCCTGAGTTCCAGATCCTGCTCCAGAAGGGCAAAGGTCTCTCAGAGATGATATAGAATTTCTGCCAGCACCAGAAAGGGATATCATAAATTGCACTTAATAGCACTAGACACCTCTAACACAACTTGAAACATTCCTGATCAAATAGTGCAAACATCTATGAGCATCAGCTTAAGAAACCTTCAGAGTCAGAAGGTAGCAGCTGTGCAACTCTAACGCTAAATTGTGCTGCTACCTTTGGTTTGATGAACAGTGCATATTTCTCCCCATTTGTTATAAGGACAGCCAGTGTGGCCAGCTCAGTTAGATATGCTTAGCCAGGGGAAATTATTGCCATCATTCATGCTCCTTTCTTTTAGGAGAAGTTCTAGTGCTTGGGTTTGCACCAGGATTTACATCCAAGACATTTTAGTCATTAAGTTTTGGAAAGTGTCCTTTCCTCAAGTTTTTCAGTTGTTGGCACCCAATTTGGCAAGTAAATAATGGAATGATGATGCACTTTCTTCATGAGCAGTTCATAATAGGTAAATACTTTATAATACAAAAATTCATACACATTCCAAAGAAATTCATTCACTACCTGAGCAATAACAAGAACCCTTTGACACCAAAAAACTATTTCTGTATTACTACTACAACTGGACTTAAGACATTCCTCTCACATCTTTAGCTTGCCTATAGATGTGTGTGCATGCACATGTGTATACCAGTCATGAACATTACCACTGTGAGATCATCAATAACATGCTGTTGTTCTTTGACTTGCAGTCTAAGGAATTCAATTTCTTGTTCCTCTCGTGTGCTGCTGAGATCATTCAAAGATGTGTGCCTCTTCAGCACTGGTTGTGCAGATAACTTCTCTTTCTAAAAAAAAAAAAAAAAAAAAAAAAGAATATTTTAAAGTGTCTTGTTGTAACTAGAGAAAAATTCTCAGGTGTGATGTAGCAATCAAGCATTCTTTGGATTAATCAGTGCACATTCTGTATGCCTTAGTGTTAATCTCTCACATAAGATATTTTAAAACAAAACCAAAGTACACAGAAAAATTAGCAGAGAAGTGAACTCAATGATCTAGCATAGTAGTGCACTAAAATTCAGTTCTGACTTCTAATTGTAAAAGCAGTATTTATTAAAGCTGATTTTTAGTCATAACTTTCTATAGCCTGCAAAATATTTTATCTATCTGTGATCCTTATCCTTAATCACTGTGAATTTACACAAAGCACATGCCACTCTGAATTTAGAATATGAATATTCAGCTGCATTGTCTGTATTTGACAGTTACACCATCCCACTGTGGAGACTGATCTGTTTGAGTTGGAATAAAAGTCGCACAGGCACTTCCACCTTAAAGTAGATGTGTGCAATGTGTTCTTATAACATGACATCAGAGACAATCACTTACCAGTTCTACATTTTCCCTTGATAGATTTTTTATTTTTTCTTCCATTCTCTGGATACTTTGCAACATATCATCATTTTTTTTGCTCATCCTCTTATTTTTTTCTACCAAAGGCTTCAGCTGACTTTCTGTCTCCCGAGAACGTTTCAGCTGCACATGGCAAAGGAACAAAGTTAGCTGAGCTTTAGTTTACCATTGCAGGAAAGAAGAAATAGCTGTGTTTTCACTTGCCTTTCTTCATTCAGAAAGTTTAGCTCTTTAGCTAAGTGACATCTGATACAGACCACTGCTGAACTAGGAACTACAGGAGTCCAAACTAATAAGGCATGGGGTTTTTTTACAGTCTACCAAAACACTAGATCTGGTCACTGAATTTTTCTCTTGGTAGACACTCATGATGATTTCTTTACAAACTAATCTCAATGTATATAAGCTTCTGGTGACAAACTAGGTCTCTAAGCAAGTTGTTCTCACCAATTGTCCCTCAGTAGAAGGATACTCTTCCTCCTCTGCTTTAAAAAACCCTTCACCTAATGTGTAATTAGAGCAATGAGAAAGTCAGCCAGAGGGCACAGATTCAATCTCAGCATTCTGCTGACATTTTCAAGCTGCTCAATTTTGTTCCTGTGGTTTTACGATGTTAGACAATTACACAAAGCAAATTGCTGCTCTTTCTTGTATTTGTGTGTATTCAATATTTCACTCTATTTAATGAGCTGCTTTGTTTGGAAAAAAATAATCTATTTTTTCCCAATCAAAAGATTTTTGAATTTACTGAGTTTTAACTGGAAATGAGAAAAAGATAGTCTTTTTCCTGAGATAATTTCACTGAGTACTTGCTTGTCTATTTCATTCTCAAAAGACAAATGTTTTTCACAGTGCTTAATCACATGGCCTTACTGATATTACTGATATTATTTTAAGTAATATTGTCTCACAATATGGTAAAACCTACTCCATATCTCTTCCAAAATATATTTCTTACATCTCTAAATCAAGAATCAAGAAGAGCACTTGACTGAGTCATACATGCCGTCTATCTGGAGGGACACTGCCTGAAGGGTTCAGATTTCTTCAGGGATGTTTTGAATTACTTATGCTCACAGAAAGGATTAGGAGGTGGAATTATCTTGAAAAAAAGACAAGATGTTCTTGAGAGTACAGAACAGAGAAAAGCATGGATGTTTCCCCTCAGGAAAACTGAGGGGAAAAAACCCAAAACAACAAACACCAAGGCTAAGTAGGAAAAACAGTAAAGTATACCCAGGCTAAAACACATGTTCTTTTTATGCCAAGAAACTTAAATCGCTAACCAGGAATCAATTTTTGGCCTGTGAATGGGCTGTTTAGACTATAAAACTATTTAAAGATGAAAAGTTTAATGAAAAAGACACAATTATGTTCTAAATTCATTCAAATATAGCCTAGCATTGTTAAATTGTTCAACCTTTATTAATATAGATTCAGGCAAGATGTTGGACAAGAAAACTTCAAGAATTAGATTTTCTGATAGTCACTGAGATGTCATAACTAAATCAAGTCCCTTTATTGTAAAGCAAAGCCTTCTCATCTCAACATGAAGAGCTAAGTCTGACAACGCAAGGAGGAAGATGTCAATGTTTCAAAAAGATGTCAATGTTTCACTCATCTATAGGACTGACATATGGCACCACTTCAGCCCTCACCATACATAATAGAATTATTTTACAATCAGATACATAGGCTCCATCTGTTTAGAATGAAAAATCTTTTCTACCACCACTAGAATTAGGGCATTATAGGACATACGTAAAAATTCCTGTTTTGAAACTCACCTCCCATTGCAGTCAATGGGAGTTTTACCATTAACCTCAGTACAAGCAATTAAGTAGCAAGTTAATAAAATTCATTCTTAAAATTCATGTAATATCCTTTCTTTTGTAAGTTACTATCCCTCTCCTAGGATAATTTCACCTACTTAAGAGATTTCCCTTGAGTAATGGCAGATATTTCATCACTAACACAAGAAAGCTTTTTTAACTCCCAGCTAATATAAGCTTGTCATAAAAACAATGTCAAATTTCAAAAATATTAATACAGTAATTTAAGTGCATAGATTATGCATGTTTTACAACACCCTTACACAGTGCCACAGGCAAGATACCAGTCAATTTGATTACAATGACCTTAAAATAAATTTGTACATTTTTATTTTTGAGGAACAAGAAAGATTCCATCCATGTCTTCTATGATCACAAGATGAACTTCTGTAGAAATCTCTGTTATACTTAGATATAACTGATTGAAACCAACAGGACTAATTTGTAAATTATTTATAATACTGACTTTCCAACATTAAATCTTTTGCTATACAGATGCCCTCCCAGTCACCATCTGTGTTATTACTAATTAATTTACCAGTTCATTTCTTTCATCTGCTAAGAGAGTATTTCTGTCTTCCAGCTTCCTTATTACAGCATTCAGTTCAGCGATTTTTAACTGAAATCTCCGCACATCTCGTTCATCCAAATGCTGCTCCTTTACATCAAAAACATAGAGACATATAAAATTATCTTTAAAAAAATATTTTACTATCCTTAATTTAATATCATGGTTTAGCAAGTAGATTGTGTAAATTTAAAATACACTCGTACATCAATGTCTGGAAAACCTACTTTAATTAACTGAAACACTAAACAATAACATCCTGTGAAAAAGCTACATGAACACTGTCTGCTTGTGAAATGTATGTAAAGGTCTAACAATTAAAAAAAAAAAACAAAAACAAAAAACCACCAAAACCAAACAGTAGATAAATAATATTTCATGCATAACAGGTTACTTCTCACCAGATTCCTTACTCTCAGCTAAAACAATTCTAGTGTATAGGACACAGATTAAAATCACATGGGTCAAGTTTTGAGAAGTAGAGTACCTATTTGCCAATGGTTAAAATATTCCTAAAGTAATGAAAAGGTGAGGAAATACTGGGGTTCACAGCTGGAGATCACAATGTAAATTCCAAAAGTTATATATATTTTTCAACAGTGTTTGCAATTTAAGAGGTCCAAGGAGTTTCTAAATTATCAGTGAAACAGCACAGTGCAGTGTAGGGCCATTTACCATTAACTGGTCCTTGCAGTATTTTAAAAGTAACCACAAACCCAACGTGAACACCCAGGTAGCAATTAGTCAAACATTTGAAGAAAAAACAATTTTCTTACCGGACTTCCCATGAGTTCAGTGATATCCCCTACTCCTGCAGGAAGCTCTCTCTTAGGACTACTATGGTATCGTTCTGCCTCCTTCACTTGGACAAGTTGTTCATCCAAAGCTTCTTTCTGAAGTAGCAGTTTCTGTGTATGGCCTGCCTGGACACCAAGGTCTTTCTCCAGAGCTAGAATCACCCTGTCTTTGCCTTTTATCTCGTCCATCTGGAAAGAAATAATGCAAGAAGGAAGTTTCTGTAACATCCCCAACTGTTCACCGATTGCATACCCACAAACTTGCAAAAACAAAGTTCTGTTTCTGTGAGAATTATATCAGCACCCAAACTGTGGTTGCCAAAAAAAAGAAAATATATCTCTTCTAGAGCCTTTTCCTCTCTCCTTAAACAAGTTTCAGCTTTCACTTGATCATGAGTTTGCTTGGTAAGGTTTCAACTCAAGAGAAACAAAATCAGATGCAAAGATACAGTGAAACAGAATACATATGCACTGAAAACATCCACTTCATCTGAGGATACATACTTCTGTAAGAAGAAAAATCTTCCTTCACTTTGTTTCAGAAGAAAAAGGGCTAGTACAAGATAACACACGAACACACCTTTTAAAACTTACCCGGGCTGTGTTTCAAAGCTTGAGCCATAAACATTTGCCCCATACTGACTCTCTCTTTATTAGTAAAAATCACATGTGGTAAATCCCTTCACAGGTATTAAAAATTAGTAGTGTATACACACACAATATTAAAACTGAAAATCTTAAGCATACCTATGTATTTTATGTGCCCTTGTTATAAGATCAAACGAGGACTAGTCTTTGTGCAGAAGAAAAAAAGTAAAACCACACAGAGCATTGGAATAAAGGGTAGGAAGAAATAGTTCTTAAACACCCTCTGTGGTTACTGAACTGTGTGTTCATACATCTCCATACCAAATAAAGCACACTGCTCTCAGTGATCTACTGCAGCTCTCATAGGATTTGTCCCTCACAGCATCAGTGTTAAATTCACTTTGGTACTATTCCAAATCCTAGAGGAAGTGACAATCTGCAGCAGTTACTATAGAAACAGATTTCTTAAAAAGAATGTCAACCATTTATAATATATTTGTTGGAACTGTGCTGTATCACCTTCAGTTTACAAAACTGTTTTCTTGGCCAACAGAAACCCATAGAATTTTGAAAATAAGACTATTATAAACTTATTTGAAAAAATAAAATGAAATCATGAACTTGTTAAATCTTACACTTGTTTATTATAGTCCTACATCCATAGTAGTCCTTTATTTCAAGTTACGTCAAAAGAAAAAAGAAGATTAAAAAAAAAAAAAGGAAGTGTTGGAAGTAATTTATAGTTCAGTCTAAGTGATGCACAGGATTAACACAATGAGATTACATGATTGGATGCAATTTGCTTCTTCAGGATTCTTTCCTTAATCCTTTCACAGTCTACAAAGCACGTGAAATGCATTTGTGTAAGGAATCTGAGCGGCAGGAGATGGCCTGGCTGAACCATGATCAAAGATAAAAAGGTCAGACTTGAAGTGAGTAATCTGGTCTAGACTACTTTTAAGTTCTAACTGGAACTGATGAAGATTGGTTCTGATGGAGATTTCTTTCCTGATGTGGAAAAGTTGCTGGGTCCCAGCTCCTCACACAGTAAATAAAAACAATACTTCCCAGTATGCAAATTCACATTTGTGAGACTTTCAAGTCTCACAAGACTGTCAAAAAGGACTTGCAGGAAAAGAATGCAGTTTTTATTAATGGAAGAATTTGTAACATGCAGGTTTTCAGAGGGACTGTGCAGTGAACAATGACAAAAATTAAGCAGCTGCTTCATTTACTGAATGCTATCTGTCATGCACACCGATCTATCAGGGAGCCACTGGGAGGAAAAATGTCATGTAACTAAATACTGTGGAGAGTTTCGCTTTCAGTTACACAGGTGTTTCAACTGAACATCCATACAACTGACACAGGAATTTGTCCATGCAAGGCACACATTTCATAAGAAGACCCAAGTTTACATAGGCAGCTGTAATTTCAGTTACCCCATTAGTAGCATATTTCATACTCTATAAAATTCCACAACTGAAATGGTAAATGCAATGACATATGTTTTAAGTTGGAAGAAAAAAGAAAGCACAATCTCAATGTGTCTGCTACTTGCTGAACTGATCGTTTGAAACAGGTGTGACCAGTGCAGTCACGCCCGTGTCACCCTCCTTGCACACTTCCATTGGTCACACAAGCTCACACAGATAAAGAGAGAAATGCCAGGAAAGAGCATGGCTCTGGGTGGAGGTTAGGGAAGAGAGAATTCTCCTCTGCTCTTCTGACTAGTCTTTCTCCCACCATAAAATCTACATGTGGGGAAACTTTCAGAAAAAAAACCTCAAGCACCCCATGTTCCAATCAAATAGAAAAATCTTTGAGACACTGAAAATAATTAAAAATTGCAATATAATTGTAATGACTACAAATCTATTCTATTTTAAGTTGCAGGTAACCACTAGAGAACCTCTTACTCCTGTAAACATTTGTATGTGTACACACACACAAATACACAGAACATTGCAACAGCACTTTTTTATAAGCACAAACTACCAGAACAAAGAATTTCTAAGCAACTCAACTTACCACGAATGATAAAGACGAATAGAACTGCATCAAGAACACCTCTAAGTTCTGTTTCAGAAGCCTTGGGATCAATATAATTCCCCTGTCTTCAAGGGAACAGGTACACCCTTTATTTATCTGGTGTAACTACATCAACCTAGTTAATGTCTCAATTTTCTTAAATTTACCCCAATTCCTGACCAAAAGAACTTACTACTTTTACAGACTTGCACAGTACAGAGCAAACTTGTTCATCCTCCCTGCCTGCTTTCTCAACAGAGAATACAAATTGCTCCAGAGTGCAGAAGAAAGGAAGAGAAATGTTTTACAGCAATGCAACGTTCCTCAGTTCCACGTGGGAGAGATAGCAGGTCAACGGCCCAGAAGGTAATGAAAGAGGAGGTATACGTCTAGGAAAAAGATGGTTTAGGTTTAAACTGAACAAAAGCTGCCATACAAGAAAGGTCAACCACTTAAAAAGACTTTAGTTTAGCCTAGTCTTATATATTCTAATAGTTGTAAAAGTTCAAAGTCTCCGTGTCAGTTCTGTCCCACTAGAGAACCACCGGAGTCGTATTTTGTTACATGAAAGAAAAAAAAAAAGGTGGCAATATAAAGGAAAACAGCCTAATATAATTAGGTATGCATTAGGTATGTATATTATACCATGTATTACATGCCTCTGTTTTAGTGGGGAGAAGAGTATCTTCCATTAGGCAAATGAAAATCCAAATGGATTAGTAAAGGTTTCCTACTACTTGCTATTTTGATCAAGCACATATTATGGAAGCAACACTATCATAGCCAAGACTGTCTAAGAATCTACATGGTCTAAAATAGAAGTAATATTTTTTATTAGACTAAGTGACAGAGTTGGAAAGAAAGTTTTCAGGCACAGAAACACTTCAGATGATCAAACTAAGAAGCATTTTCATGTTTCCCTCTATGGCACTGTTCCTACTTGAAGGAACAACATGTGGCAACTGGAACTTGACTGCACTAATCTCCTACCACTGCTTTTGTGTGATCCTGCTTGTACTACAACTTGTTTGAGACCTCTCACTAAGATACCATCTTTTCTTCCAACATATTTAGCACAATGAGATCCCAATCCATGCACTGGACTCACAGGTATTGTGTTAAATCAAATATATTATTCCAGAAATTCCTTCCAACTGGCTTCTTTGTTTTCAAATTTGTTCTCAGTTTAAAACAAATTTGCCCACTGTTTGCAGCTACAAAGTACAACAAGGTCACATGAACTCTTTTACATTCTGTTTTGTATAGATTTTAAACGACTTTAGAATTGTGATTTTTTTTTTTTATGCACGGTACAATTCAATACAAAAAGTCTGTGACAGGAAGACAGTGGAGCAACATGAGGTTAGAACACGTTTTCAATTACATGCCTTAAGAAGAAAAGTAGCAGAAATATCCTCTGAAAGACTGTTTTAAAGAAAATAAGATCATTCACAACCACACGCAGAGGAAAATTACTGAGAAATCACCTTGAGTAGCATAAGTAACTCTGGAGCTCTTGGTTAAAATTAGAGCTTTCTAAAGTATCAATTCTTAAAGGGTTTTGTGCTATCATATGTTAGGTCTTGAACACAGACACTACACACATTATGCCAAGAAGAGCTAGCGTTTATAGCCTGTGTCAAAATTACCCAGGTTCCTAAGAACAGGTATCTAACTGCCTCCTAACAGCTGAGAGAAATGAGCAGAAATGAGTCTTTTAATAATATTTATCAAACATGAAAGAAAACCAAGCCAATTGTTGGAAAAAGTATCCTCTGCCAATTATTCCACACTTCAATAGCTACAGTGAATGAAAGTCAGAGACCTTTGGGGGAACTTCAGCCTCGCACAAAGTTGAAAGAGAAATTCCCAGGGAATTAAAAGCCACATCTATCAAGGCAGTGACATACTCAGTTTCCAAAGTGGAAAAAGCCAGCTGCTGCATTGCCAAGTGTAAGACTTTCCTCTTTAACTATCCTTGTCAAATTTATCCCCTGGCCAACTGCAGAAAAAAATTCTACAGTCCTCTTCTCCAGAAGTTTAATTAATCTTCATACTAAATGCCTGACACTGAAAACAGGGCTATTTTGACAGAAGAGGTATTGCTAGTTACTAGAGAAATTGTTGGTTACTAGGAAGAACAAAAAGGAGATGCTACTCAAAAAAGGAGGTAAAGATTAAACCAAATGGAATTAAAACCTTTTACATTTATAAAGGGACACTAAGATCTAACAAAAATATCCCAAACTGAAAGCCCACCTGGAGGGAGGAATTGCAATATTCCAGTGTTATGCATAGCATTCTCTACACCAGACAGGGTCAGCTAGTTAAATAAATGTTTGCTGCTTATTTAGGAATCTTAGGGGGGAAAGGGACAAAACATGACAGCCATTCAGCGGAGTATTGAGACTCATAGACATAGGTAGATATGACTTAATTTAATGTGTAATTTTTCTAAACCAACAGTCAATATTTTCTTCCCCTAGCTTTTTCCATAATTTTTTTTAAAGTGTTTAAATTTTATAGACAAGGCATATATTAAAAGTTTTGATAAATTATACAAGAAATGC